GGTTGTAGGTTCTTGCTTTTTATCATTCTGAATATTTCTTGCCACTCCCTTCTGGCCTGCAAAGTTTCTTTTGAGAAATCAGCTGACAGTCTTATGGGAACTCTTTTGTAGGTAACTAACTGCTTTTCTCTTGCTGCTTTTAAGATTTTCTCTTTGTCTTGAACCTTTTGCATTTTGATGATGATGTGTCTTGGTGTGGGCCTCTTGGGGTTCATCTTGTTTGGGACTCTCTGTGCTTCCTGGACTTGTATGTCTGTTTTCTTCACCAAGTTAGGGAAGTTTTCTGCCATTATTGTTTCAAACAGGTTTTCATATCTTGTTCTTTCTCTTCTCCTTCTGGCACATCCAAGATGCGAATGTTGGCACACTTGAAGTTGTCCCAAAGGCTCCTTACACTATCCTCATTTATTTGGATTCTTTTTTCTTTTTGCTGTTTTGATTGGGTGTTTTTTGCTTCCTTAGTCCAAATCGATGGTTTGTCTCTTGGCTTTACCTACTCTACCATTGAATCTGTGTAAATTATTCTTTATTTCAGTTAGTGCCTCTTTCATATCTGACTGTGCATCCTTCATTTCTGACTGGTCCTTTTTTATGCTCTTGAGGTCCTCGCTAAGTTCTCTGAGGTTCTCACTAAGTTCACTGAGCATCCTTATAAGCAGTGTTTTGAACTCAGCATCTGTTAGGTTGCTTATCTCCATTTTGCTTAGCTCTTTTCCTGGACTTTTGTTCTGTTCTTTCATTTGGGATCTGTTTCTTTGTCTCCTCATTTTAGCTGCCTCCCTGTTTGTTTCTATGTATTACTTAATGAGAGGTATGGGGCTAGCTGAGACCAGATGCTGCTTGTTTGAAAGAATTTAGGAAAACCTGAAGCAGGGTCCAAGACAGGCCAATCCTATGGTTAAGCAACTGGCAACAGCTTGGGTGGGCCTGAAAGTTGGGTGAGGCAGGGCCTCAGGGAATCACCAGGGTGGGGCAACCAGTGTGAGCCAGGTTGCTGGAGTCCCAGGTGTGGCTGCTGTCTGCCGCCCCAGGGAAGGGCTCATCAGGAACAAAGGCCTCTGACAGCAAGTTTGTCCCGGAGAAAGCCCCCTCTCCAGCCCTCGCTCCAATGCCAAACAGCTCGGTTCTTCCCTGTATGTCTCTGGTGCCCCCAAGCTGCTTCCCCTCTGAGCTTAGAGGGAGCAAGTCTGAGTAAGTCCATGCGCGGGACCCTTTAAGGAGCCGCCTGGGGCTCCAGCCGTCTCGGTCTTCCTGAGCCTCAGTTCCCGCTGGTTTTTCCAGCCAGAAGTTATGGGGACTTCTCTTCCTGGCACTGGAACCCTGAGCGGGGCACCTGGTGTAAGACAGGGACCCCTCAGTCCTCAGGGAGGACCTTCCCAGCCGAGGTGTCCTCCTGATTTTTATCCGCCACATGTGGGTGTGAGACCAGCCTGTTGCGCCTCCACTCCTCCTACCAGTCTCGATGAGGCTTCTTTAATTTTGTAGCTGTAGGACTTCCATTCAGCTTGATTTCAGGTGGCTTTGAATGATGGTTGTTCTGTGGTTTAGTTGTAACTTTGATGTGGTTGTGGGAGAACATGATACCTCGGTTACCTATGCCGCCATCTTGACCGGAAGTCTCTTTTTACATTCTTACAGCAGAAGCTGGGCAAGAAATAGTCTCTTTTGCTAGGAGCTAAGGCCACACAGGAATAATATCTGCTGTATTCAGAGTCTTGTCCTCAGCAGTAGAAGGATTAGTCCCCTTTGTCCCCCAGAAAATAGCTCTGTGATCCCAGTGGAGATTCAGGCTTTCCCCACTGGAGGCTCTGGATATAAGCTCTGAGCACAGCCAGTGAATGCATAAATAGACCCCATCTACCCTCGAGTCACCCAGCTGTCTGAATCCCAAGAACATTATCTATTAGTAATGTTCAGTGTTAATTTGGGGTGACAGTGTGGTCCTGCAAATGCAGAAGTTTGGCAGGAAACTTCACCAAATGGTGAGATCAGAGGGTACTGTTTTGTTCTCTTTGGAGAGTTAACTGCTTTTGGAATGGAATTTGTCAGAGTCGCAGTCTCTTTTCTTTCTTGAAGCCTCCTAGATAATTGGGAGATTTGGCCTTTTGGCTTAAACTCTGCTGACGCCACAGAGGTCTAGATTTTTGGTTGCCCTTCTGTGGCTGACTTCCATCCTTCCCTTAGGCCAGCTGTAGTCCTCTACAGGTACTCTGAACTTGATCCTTCTTTTCTGTCTAAGAATGTTACTCTTGAAATACTTAATAAAATGTCACATCTCACTGAACAGCTTCACATAAATTATTTTTCTAAGTAGCTAACTCATACTTTTTTTAACAAAATTTTTCTGACAATACTGAAAGTGCCATTGTATATGTGACTTAATAATACAGTGAATGTTCAAGTAGTGAATAGCATACAGTTTGATGTTGAGTCCCAAATTTTCACACACACACACACACAATTTTAGCCATTTGCAGTAAAACTCTATCAACTGCTGACACATTTTCCTGTGTTCTCACACATTGTGAACATTGGCCCACTCTGCCAGGCCCTATGCTGTATGCCCAAGGGTTGGCATGGTGAAGAAAGAGCCCTTGTCCTCTAGAGACTTATAGTTAGAGGAGACTGTAGACCAGCAATCCCTGTCGTCTCTAAGACTGTTCAGGTTCCACAGCCTTCCTGGCTGTAATAGAGGGATGCCCTGTGGTTTACATGTGGGACTATTCCTTCCTAATTTAAGTGGCCCGGGATACTCTTTGGATTTTTGTATTTGCCTTTAAAATTTTTTTTTCTGAATAGGTAGTATATGCACATAATAGAAAATTCTAAAGGGACAAAATGTGGAGTAGAAAGTTGTCTACTCTTTTCCCCAGCCACTGAATTTCTCTCCCCAGAGCAACCTCTGTAGTTTTTAATGTATTTTTTTCAGACATTCTATGCATATACCTGGGCATGTGTCCCTCCCACAAATTATAATTTATACACACCCTCACCTTTTCATTTAGCACAATATCTTGTAGACCATTTGATACCAGAACACAGAGATGCTTTACTCTTCTCAGTGGCTGAGCAGTAGTCCATTACTTAAGTGGTCCCATACTGACGGACATTTCAGTTGTCTGCAGTGCAGTCTTTTGCTGCTGTCAGCAGTGCTGCAGTGCATGGTCTCATAAACATTATTTAAGTTTGAAGGACATTTCTGAATTGCCCCCCTTCCTCCCCACAACATAGAAAGATGCCTATTCTTCCTCCCTCCCTCCCTCCCTCCCTTCCTTCTATATTGTTTATTCTCCTATGTTTAAAAACCATTTGTTTGTTTTTTTTCTGTAACTGTTCATGTCTTCTGTCCATTTTTCTATTCAGTTGTTGGTTGGTTGCTTTATATCTTCTTTTTTAATCCTCACCCGAAGATATTTTTCCATTTTTCTTCAGATAGAGTGGGAGGGAGAGAGAGAGAAACATCCATGTGAGAGAGACACATCAACTGGTTGCCTCCTGCACGATCCCTGCACGACCTCCGACCAGGGCCAGGGACGAACTGCAACCAAGGTACATGCCCTTGACTGGAATCGAACTTGTGACTCATTGGTCCACAGGCCGACATTCCAACTGCTGAGCCAAACCAGCCAGGGTGGGACTCCTTATATCTTAAAGAAATTAGTTGTGTGATAGTTGTTGCAAATGTTTGCCTCTCCTTTTTTTTTTTAATTTTTTTTCTTTATCGATTTTTAGAGAGAAAAGGGAGAGGGAGAGAGAGATAGAAACATCTATGAGAGAGAACGTCAGTTGGCCACCTCCTGCATGCCCCCCACTGGGGATTTGGCCCACAACCTGGGCATATGCCCTGACTGGGAATCGAATGCATGGGTTGATGCTCAACCACTGAGCCACACCGGCCAGGCTGCCTCTCCTTTCTTGCAGCCTTATTAGGGCCATCTCTGCAGTCACTGTCAGCTCTCATTTCAGTTTTCTACATCTCCATGTTTTTTGTTGTTTTTTTTTTAATATTTTCTTATTGATTTTTTTAGAGAGAAAGGCAGAAACATGATGTGAGAGAGAAACATCGATTGACTGCCTCCTGAACGCCCCCTACTGGGGATCAAGCATGCAACCTGGAATCGAACCGAAGCCTCTCAGTCCATGGGAGGATGCTCAATCCACTGAGCCACACTGGCCGGGCTACATCTCCATGTTTTAACTCTGCCTATCTTAAGAGCTTTTTTCTCTGTTAGAACTTCCAGTAAGACAAGCAAATATACTTAGCTTCTGAACTCTTGTGTCCCGGCCATTTGAAATCTCTTTTAGTTTCTCAGAGTATTTCTTGCTTACTCCTGATTTTATATACTTGGAACCATGCATCCTTTTCATGTGCATATGAACTGTTAGTTAGGGGTTTCTTAAGACAGAACCCTAGATAATATGCTTATCTGCCTGAGACAATGAAGTCTAAACTCCAACCCTTACTCTGCAGTAAGAGCTCAGGAATCATTTTAGTACATTACTTTTTGATTCAGATTTAGTCTAACATTTTCTATTCTAAGTGGCCTTTAACCGTAGCAGATTATTTGACTTCCCACATCAGTAAAATGAGGGATAATACTTTCATGTCAGGATGTTATAGTGACTAAATGAGGCTGGAAACATTTAGAAGGAAGGAGGAGTGGAGTGGAGTTCACTTATCCTTTAACCTCTTAGTCCTATTTTCTAGGTTGAGGCTTTCTGTCACTAAGGTGACAGCGTAACTATGGGTGTCATGGGACAGAAGAGCTTCAGCCTACTTGGTGACATTCTGCATGGTCTTAAATGTTCTCTGACTGTGGCTTCTGTTTTCTCGATTGTGAAGGAGAAGCACAGCTGTACAGTGAGGATGACAGTGTTGCCTCCACAGGTGGTTCTGAGGCTTCCATGTAAAGCCCTCAGCACAGTGGCTGGTACATGGAAAGGAGACCATAACTTTGGAAGAGGGTGATGAAGTTAAAGTCCTCCCTCCTTCTTTGCAGAAGCCCCGTCCTGTGTGTCCCTTGGAAGCACGTCCCTGAGTGGTCCCTCCATCCACTGCCCCTCTGCTGCAGTCTGTATCGGCATCCTCCCAGGCTTGGGCGCCTACTCTGGGAGCAGCGACTCTGAGTCCAGCTCCGACAGCGAAGGCACCATCAACGCCACCGGCAAGATCGTCTCCTCCATCTTCCGAACCAACACCTTTCTTGAGGCCCCCTAGCTTCTGTGTCCTTACCTCAGGGAGCTCCTCCCCAAGAGTAGACCAGATGGATGGTTCATCTGCCTCCAGGCATTACCTCCCTCAGAAAACTTTTTTGCCTGTTTCCTGTGCACACCGTGACATTTTTAACCTCATCTAAAAATGTGCCAGCATCCACCTGTGGCCCGACTTGTGTTTGGTTTCTCTTTCCTCTCCAGTGCAGATGCCCACACCTGTCCCACTGCCTCATTCCTCACTGATGTGTTGGGGTGGGGGCCAGGGCCCGGCAGAAACTCCACTAAAAATGCCCTGGGAAGACAGGACAGCTGGCTTGCACAGGGTTTGTTTGTATTATGTTGCTTTTTTTTGTGTTTTTTTTTTTCCTTTATGAACAGCACAGAGAAGCAAGGACCATTCTTGGACAGGTATTATTTTAAACATTCTATTCTAGACGAACACATTGTTCGGTTGTACTGCATTGTGGAGATGCAGGCGGAGAGAACTGGTCCGGGTAATGAACTGGCGCATCCCCTGGAACTGACCAGTTCTTGATGTTGTGACTAAGATGAAAAACTACATCTGCAGGGCGTGTCACTTCACACTCATCATTCACTGTGAAGTGTTTCCTTACTCTCAGAAAACAGTCTTCCTCCCTTTATCTAATCCCATTTAAGACTAAACCTGAGAGAAGCAGATTATAGGCCTTATTTCATCAGAGCCAGAAATCAAAAGTGCTAGTAGTATATGGATGAGATGACAGTTTTGGCAGCTCCTGGGTTCTTAATATTGCAAATCAGTGGGACACACCTGCGTATTCTGACTATACTCTGTACTCTGTTAATACCTTTATAGTGGAGGATTCCAACTATGATACTGTTTCTAGCTTAAAGTTGCTGCCCTAGTTCTTTCCTTCTCTTCTATTTTTTTTTTTCCTTTATTGATTTTAGAAAGAGAAGAAATGAGAGGGAGAGAGATAGAAACATTAGTGAGAGAGAACATCCATTGGCTGCCTCCTGCTTGCCCCCACTGGGGATTGGGCCGACAACCTGGGCATGTGCTCTGACCGCGAATCCAACCAGCGACCTCTTGGGTTGATGCTCAGCTGCTGAGCCACACCGGCCGGACTCTTTCCTCCTCTTTTATCTGCTGCCCCTCCTGCTCTTTCCCTTCCCACAAAGAGCAGCTCTGAGGCTGTGAGCAGTCAAGAGGTAGAGGTATCGCTCCACCTCTGTGTCTCATAGAGGGGGTCAGGGGCTCTCCCTTAGGGAGGGAGACCTCAAGGACAGAGGTAGTCATGGGCTTAAAAAAAACTCAGGTCTCCCTGCTTCAGGAGAATGGGTCTGTGTGGCTCTTTCTTCCCGTGTTCCCATGTCAATTGTTTTTACTTCCTTGGGTGTGAGACAGAGACACACGATGTGTTGACACTGTGATGCTGGCAGGCAGAGAAGCTGCTCAGTTTTAATGTGGGCGGAGAGGCCTCTGGATCTCATCCAACCCACTCCTTTTCCCTTTCTAATGCAGTGACATTCTGGTGCCCATTGGCAGATGGTGACTTCCCTTCACCCATAACTGATGCCTTGTGATTCTTCTTTTCAGAACTACTCTGTGCTAATTGTTCCTGTCAGTATAGCACATTAACTCCATTCTAACAAACAAGGTGCTTAGGTAAAACTGTAGACACCTTCTACTTCTCTGCGTCATTGTTCCTGCGATTGTGCTGCTGTGATTACAGAATGTCCCCAGAGCAACCTCGCATCATTTCAGGAGGCAGGCTGAGGAATCAAAGTCACCCCCTTTGTGGGGTCTGACTGTTTTAGAGGCCATTACTTTACCTCATGTCATCTGTTGATGTTGGAATAAGTTGACAAAGGATTGCAGGAATTTAAAACATACTTATCTTGCCCTGGCCAGTTTGGCTCAGCGGTTAGAGCGTCGGCCTGCAGTCCAGAGAGACCCGGGTTCGGTTCCCACTAAGGGCATGTACTTCGGTTGCAGTTTGTCCCCGGCCCTGGTTGGTCGTGCGGGTGGCAGCCACTCGATGTGTCCCTTCACGTCGATGTTTCTCTCTCTCTCTCTCCCCCTCCCACTCTATCTGTACAAAAAATGGAAAAATATCCTCGGGTGAGGATAAAAAAAAACAAAAAACATACTTATCTTGAAGGCTAATAACAAGATCTTGCTTTTCCTATTCTGAATCTGCGCTTCCAACTCCCTCCCGATCTACCATAGCTAGATTATATTGAAGGCTGAGGCTCTTCAGATTTCTGTTCGTGGTGTCTCAGGCGAGATTGAGAATCACAGGTAATCACTTCATTGTGTTCTGTTGTGTCTATTAGTATATCGTGTTGGGACTGAAACACGTTCTGTAGAAATCATGAATAGCAAAGCAGGACCTGATCTGTCCAATAGAGGAAGTGGCCTTGGAAAGCATCCAATGTAGACCATGTGGTTTAAACCCAAAGGATAGAAAAAATAGCCCTGGCCAGTTTGGCTCAGCAGTTAAAGCATTGGCCCATGGATTGAAGGGTCTTGAGTTCAGTTCTGGTCAAGGGCACATACCTGAGTTGCTGATTCAATCCCTGGCCCCGGCCAGGGTCATGCAGGAGGCAACCAATTCTCTCTTTCTCTCTCTCTCTCCCCCCTCCCTCCCTTTCTTCTCTCTCCCTCCCTCCCTTTCTCCTTTCCTCCTTCCCTTTCTCCCTTCCTCCCTCCCTCTCTCCCTCTCTCCTTTCCAGTCTCTCTCAAAAAATAAATCAATGAAAAAATATCCTCGGGTGAGTATTAACAACAACAAAAAAGAATAGAAAACAGGGCTGAAAGGAAACACTGCTTTAAACCATAAAATGTAGTACTCCTGCCTTAATAGAGAACTGGGATTTTATAACTAGGTCATAAAGGATGAAAACAAAGTTCAGGGTGGACTTTTTTAAACGTGCTTACATTGTCCTGAGTGGCAATATTCTTACAACTCTTGAACTTTGTGAGGGAGAAAGCGCATCTGTGAGGAATCCTACTGCTGGCTCTGTTTGAATTATCTAGTTTGTGTCACACTGTGCCCTCTCTACCTTTGGCCCTGTCACCCACCTGGGCTGGGACAAGGGGAGCATGACGTTCAAAGCATCCGTTTCCATCTATGTAGAGCAGGGAGGCTGATGTGACTGGACCTAACGAGGTGGCTGGGTGACCCATTAATGTCTGCTGCCCCGGCATCTGAGAGGAGACAGCTGGCTTTCAAGTTCAGCGGCTTGAGGAGGGTGCTTGAACTTTTCCAGGAGCACTCTAGACTGAAAGCTCCTGACTAGAGGCGACTCAGGCTTGTCCCTGGCTTTTCTATTCCTCTTCACCTCAATCAAAGGTTCGGCTCTTCTGGCCGCCTTATCTCATAGGTTCCTCTCTCTGGCTGCCTCATTTCCACCCAAGAGAGAAACTTCATTTACCTAAGATGCTTGCCCTGCTTCTCCCTGGGAGCTTGGCCTGGTTCCACCTTCCGTGGGTAGACCCTAGTGGCTCTGAGCTTGGAGCCAGACATTCACTAGTTGGGTCGCTTGAGCAAGGTCCTTAACCTCTCTGGGCCTCAGTTTCCTCCTCAGTAAGTAAGAATAATGACACCATCTTCCTAGCGAGAGTGATAGGTAATCTAGCTTAGATACTTGGCATGGTATCTGACACACAGCGCTTAGTAAATAGGAAGAACTCGTTAGTACCATTACGATTGGCCTCCCCCGTTTCTTGGTGGGGTGTCGGAGCTTCCGTTAGTGATGATTTGTGGCAGGTTTACGCATCCTGCTGACATTCCTCAGTTGTAGCTAGAACACTGACAGGATGAGTGGTCAGATATGGTCATCAGAGCTCCAACCACCAGTTTGTTCTCTGTGCTTCCCTCTTAGCTAAATGTTAATTGCTCAGGCACACGCGGTTCCTTGGCTTCAGTGTCCTGGCCGTGGGTATATGGCTCAGCTGTCATCTTAAGCCCCTCCAGAAAAACAAGAAGGAGACCTTGCTGTGATTTCCCCAAGGTCCTTGGGGGAATCAGGGCTCCATGCAGTCCTGCAGCCTCAGGAGAAATGAAGGTGTCCCTAAAGGATATTTTAGTTGACTTTTGGTGGCGACAGAATCAGCAGATGCGTTGAAAACTTAGGATGGAAAAAAAAAAAAGAAAACTTAGGATGAAGATATCCTTTACTCGCTTCCACCAGTTAAACACTGGCTTCTAAGGCTACCAGGCACCCGTAGGTAGGAACCTTCCGGATGCACCGCCCAGGTGTAACAGGCTACTAGTAAGAATTACCTGGGAGAGTAGGTCAAGGTGAGTGACTTCCCAGTTTCAGTAGAGAGGAAGAGCAAACTTATTACCAACTTGAGCAGAAGACCCTCTAGGGGTGAGGGAGGACATTCAGTGCAGTGGACAGTGTGGGCTCTGCAGTCTGCTAGACCTGGACTAAGATCTGGCTCTGCCTCTCATCAATTGGATTAGCTTTTCTGCTTGTTTCCACATCTCTGAAATGATCATAAACGGGCTATTGGGAGGTTCATCGAGATTATGCCTGTAGCTCTGGCCAGTTTGGCAGAGTGTTGGCCCGCGGACCAAAGGGTCTTGGGTTCGATTTTGATCAAGGGCACACATACCTGAGTTGCTGTTCAATCAGTATGTCTCTTACATCGATGTTTCTCTCTGTCTCTCCCTCCTACTCATTGGAAGTGTCCTCAGGTGAGGATTAAAAGAAAAGAAAGATTGTGCCTGTAAAGTACTTAAACACAGAGTGGGAAACAGTATTTAATATAAATGTCAGTTACTGGTTACACACAAACCTCTGCCTGGAGCTCCCAGGGGAAGGTGGGTAAGAGAGCAAGATGTGTTACATGGAAGAGAGGAGAGAACTGCGGGTGGCTGGGGTTTCAGAGTGGTCTCCTGGCTGGTTTCATGAAGTTGGGCCTGGGCCCAGCGAGGGGCATGCAGGAGTAACAAGTGGCTGCTGTCAGCAGGGACAGGGCAGACCACAGGGCAGACCCCTGTGTCTGGGAGACCTGGAAGGACAGCAGATGGGTGGCAGTCACTGCTGTTCTGTGTGCGTGTGAGGTGGGTGGGGACACAGGACAGAGTGGACCAAGAGGAAGAAGGGGTGGTGACCACGTGGTGTTGGCTGGGCCAACATTCGGGACTCCAGAAATGCCTGTGCATTCTATTCATCCACAAGTATTTATTGAGCATGTACATTGTGCCAGGTTCTGTGCCAGTTTAACAGAAGTATTACTGTTCTTGTGGAATGCATGTCCCCAAATAGAAGTGATGACACCGCCCTCACAGGCTTGCTGGGGCAAAGGGGTTCCATGTTCATTTCCCAGATCAGTGAGCCCATCGGGTACCAGCTGAGGAAGGAGCTGACACAGGGATGTCTGAGACTCCTTTATTACCCTGAGTATTACAGATAGAGCACGATCACAGCATTGAAAACAGAGCAGGAATTAGGTGTGGGCTGTGACAGAGAGTGTGCACCGGGGACATAGTCCTCACAGAGTCGCAGCTAGTTATGATTGTAAAAATTTTATTCTCTTTAATAACAATAATAATTCCACGAAAATTATACAAAGTACATTCAATACTCAGGAGTGGCAGGGACAGGAGGAAAGGAAGCTGGTTTGGCCTGGAAGCATCATCAGTAGACTCCAAACAAAGGAAGTCCAGCTGGGCTGGGGGAAGTTGGGGGTGGAGGTCCCATTGTAAAAAATAAACAAGTGGATTGGTGGGTTTTGTTTTTTTTTTTTAAAAAAAAAAAAAGGCCACACCCATAAGGAAGCAGGGTGAGCGTGCATGTTCCTGGGGGAGGGTGGGAAGCCCAGCCTGCATGCTGCTGCTGGGCGGGTGCCTTGGGGCGGGTGTGCGGGCGGGTGCTCAGGCTGGCTCTGAGTTGGTGGGGGGCAGGTTTTTATGCTTGAAATACTGCACAACTTGTTGAGGCAGTTCCGCCAGCACAGCTTTGGCCAAGGTCTCTTTTGCTGCCTGCAGGGTGGAGGGTGGGGTTTAGAGAGGAGAGAATGAGGGTTACTGAAAGGGAGTTGTGAGGGTCACCATTCCCAGAGAGCTGCAGAAGATGTCCCTGGAGGACAAATTAGTTGAGTGCCAGGGCTGCCTAAAACATGTCCCTCATCCCTGTCCATGCCTGAAATCCCACCATCAGCAGTACCTTCCTTTTGGTTAAGTGTAACTCTTACCTGGAGCAGTTGGGATGCCTGGGAGTCACATATTAGGAAGAATTTGTGGGGGATTTTGGGGTCAAGAACCCTAGGAAGGGGAGCTGCTGCACAGTCTACTCATCTGGTAGACATTTCCCAGGCACCTTGGCTGGTATAAATGGGCCGTGACTGTCTGGTTCATTGCTGAATGCCCAGCCACAGGCCAGGCACGGGGAGGTATTCAGTCAATGTCGGCACGTGTGAATGATGGCCGATGCCCCGCATTTGTCCTCAGATATGTAATGCCCCAGAGGGTACTGGGCAGAGATGTGAGGAACACTGGGTACAAAACAGAGTGGTCAGTTCTTGCTGGGACTTGGTGAGCCAGAGCACCTAGAGGGGCCCAATGGCTGAGAGAGCTGAGGCCCAAAGAGGTCAAGGCCCCAGGCTGGCAGTACAGAGGTGGCATCTGAGAGGCTGTGCTCCTTCCTGGACTCCTCATGGGCCCAGCTTCCAGGACAGCAATCAGGAAGCCAACCACGGCCTCCTGTGGGCAAACTTGAGGTCCCCAGCAAACAGGACCAGAGTCACTTCCAGGAGCCAGTCCTTCCTGCGGAGGCCCTTAGGGTAGAGAGGTCATCCTAAGATGGGCCTGGTTTTCCATGTGAAGTGAAGAGTCTGGGTAAGGGGTGAGGATGAGGAAAGCCTCTTTCTTACCTCTAGGCCTTTGTTCTTGCCCCTCTGTCTCCTGAAATCTTTGCCTCACACAGATAACTGACTTCTGGTTACCAGGAAACCCTGCCAGGAGCTTCAGTCCGAAGCCAATGCTCACCCTATTACATGGTCTTGCTGGAGGGCAGGGCCTGGCATGGTGCTGGGCACACAGTAGGCCCTCAAGAAGTGCTCAGTCAATGGAGCTGAGGCTAGAGGAGCCTGGGACTGGGCGGACAGTCCCAAGACCATCCTGATTACTATGGTTCTTGGGGCCCTGTGATGCCCCCTCCCCAGCCTGCCCATACTCACGTTTCGGAACTCTCGAAAGGGCACAAACTGCACGATGTCTCGGGCTGCCTCCTCCCCAGTGTGAGAGCGCAGTGTGCGGCTGTCCCCATCCAGAAACTCCATGGCAGCGAAGTCAGCGTTGCCCACACCCACAATGATGATGGACATGGGCAGCTTGGAAGCCTGCACCACGGCATGTCGTGTCTCCTCCATGTCACTGATGACACCATCCGTGATGATGAGGAGGATGAAGTATTGCTGCAGGGAGGTCAGTGGGCACTCAGCAGGGCCCTAAGGCCCCTGGTAACTTCCCCCTCCCTCCCATCCCAACCCCTCAAAGCCCTCTGACCCCTGGGGAGGTGACTCTTCTTCCCCGGCTGTAGTCAAATCCGAGCCACCTACCACAGCACCATGGCCCCTGCAGGCCTCTTGTCTGTTTAAACCCTGACTAAGTTTCAGCCAGAGCATCAATTGCCCCGGTTCTCCTGCCCAGCCCAGAGCCTAGGACTCCAGGACTCTGCCAGTCGCTACATTGTGGGTCTGACTTAACTCTCTGTGCCTTGGTTTCTTCATCGGCAAAGTGGGAGTGGCCTGTCCCCCAAGCACCTCAAAGAGAACATACTTGCCTTGTGGCAGCAGTTTTTCACAAATTGACAGCCACATTCCTGGCAGGCAGGCAGGCAGGCCCTTGGCTGGCCAGGAAGACCACTGTGGCTGACACCCCAGGAGCAGCCTCTCCTCTGTCCACCTGCACATGGATACCTGTGTGCCTGCTCATCCCCTGTGAGCACAGCTGGACTCAGACACCCCACAGGAGCTAAGCTGGTCATCCAGGCCAGTGCCTCTGGGACTCTGGGACTCGTGGGGCTATATACCAGACACAGCATCTAGTCACAGTGGGAAGGGTGCTAGTTTTGCAGTAGTCTTTCAATTCTACAAACTACCTAGGAGCAGTCTCAGTGTGGTGCTAGTGTGTCTTTAATGCCTCTCTACCATCGCTAGCCTTCCTTAGTAACAAAGAAGGCAGGGAGCTCAGAGCTTCAGGGGACAATAGTTTAGCTAGACTTTAAGATCATTGTAGTTTCTTATATATTTATTTTTATTGTTATTCTCTGGTAAGGGATAATGATTCACTTAAAATGGGTTATAAAATTTCTTTATAAAGTTTTTTAAGCCATGGCCAGTCTGGCTCAGCGGTTAGAGTGTTGGCCTGTGGACCAACGAGTCTTGGGTTCAATTACGGTCAAGGGCACGTACCTCGGTTGCAGTTCGTCCCCGGCCCTGGTTGGGGTTGCGCGGGAGGCAACCAGTCAATGTGCCTCTCTCACATCAATGTGCCTCTCTCTCCCTCCTTCTCTATCTGAACAAAAATGGAAAAAATATCCTCAGGTGAGGATTAAAAAATAATAATAAAGTTATTTAAGTAAAATATTGAATAATTAGTGTGGGTAAGAGGTGGCCATAGTGTGAACTTCGAAGGTGGGGCTGGCGGAGCTCAGGAAACCTCACTGGATGATCTGTGGCCGGAAGCCCTGGGGTTCCAAGCTGGCTGATACTTTGTTTTCAACTTGGCTCTGTCCTTAGCACCCTCTCGCCCCTTTCTGGGGGAACTCAGTTTTCCCCCAAAATAGAAGAGCCCTGTGACCCTAATATTCTGTTTAGAGCTTTTGCCTTCTACTCTGACCCTGAATCTCAGGAAAGGAAACGGGGCCCAGACCAGTCAAGGTCATGGAGGTTAAGCCCATGTCAGCCCCCAGTTCAGCATTTGACCACCTTCTCACCTGTTTGCTCCCTGAGGAACATACAGGGGATACAAATTCAGCCCCCTAGGATGCCTTGCTCTCCTGCCTGTCCCCCAAGCACAAACTGTGGAAGGTAGTGGGGGTGAGTCACATAGAGGCATGGACCCCACCATCCTAACCCGGCTCCTGGCAGCAGTAGGCTGGCTCCTGCACTGTGCCTTTAAGAAAGAGATCAATCCCTTGGCTGGGGATACCTGTTGCTATGGAGATGGCAGTCTGAATCCTTGCAGTGGAGGGCTGTTGCATCCAGACCCTTGTGTCCCCATAGCCCATCATCTCAGCAGCCCCTTCCCTAAGTGGGGTCTTCCACCCCACCATAAATATTCCAGGGCACCTAAGCTGGCAGGAAGCAAGGCACTGAGAAGCCTGGCAATGAGGAAGGAAAAGAATGGGTGGGACTGGCTTCCAAGCCCCTCCCAGCCCAGACAGCCTCCCACCCACCCACCCACCCCTCCAGGCCCTGTTGACCTTCCCTCTTCTATCAGCCACAAGTCCGTACTGGGGACTTGGAGCATGGGGGCCTGAGCTTCCCTCAGAGCTGTGGAACCTTTCTCCCCAGGGAGTTTGGCACAGGCAGGGCCTGGGTTGCTGCAGGACCATGGGCATCAACTAACAGGGTGAACAAGTCCCTGTTAACACTACCACACAGGCCCTCCCTGGCCCCCTCACACTGTGATTCTCCTTTTAGAGAGAAGGTGGGCTGAGTGAGGTTCAGTGACTTAAGGCCTCCCGGCTGGGATGGGTATCTCAATTCTAAACCGAGCTTAGCTGACTCCAAAGTTGGGGCTCTTTCTATAGCATCTTCCTTTGCCTGCAATTGTCTCTCCGGTAGTGGGGCCTGCACCCTCTCACCCAGCACCCCTGCCAGGAGGCCAGAAAGTCCAAGATAGCAGCCCAGGGCAGGGTTCAGAACCATGGTAGTGGACTTTAACCCTTGATCCTGTGTGCCAACCAGTTAGTCACAATGCCCACACTCATGTTTTTCCTCAGCTTGAGGTCATCAGCTTTGGCAAGGGAAGTCCTGGGCTCCTTGCCAATCGTGGACAGAGCCAAGGTTGTCCAGGAGCCTCTAAAATTCATTGCAATCCCAGGGGTCCACAGCTCCACCCCCCCACCCCCACCCCAAGACAGTTCAGAAGGAACGTGGGAAGGGGTCTGTGGAAGGGGAGAAGAAAGGGCGGAATCAGGCAGGAGGAGGTGGGAAGGGGCTCTGCTGTCCCCACAGACAGTCCTGGTCTACTCTCTGCCCTGATTTCCCACCTCTGTGTGAGCCTTTCTTGATTTACTTCCTTCTGCCTGGCATACCCTTCCCAGCCACAACATCTGAGTGTCTCCTACTTCGTCCTAAGCAGATGTGAAGACCCTCCCCAGTCCTGAGCTCTGCCTCCACTGCCAGCATTGTCCACTGGGGGCGGGGGAGGGGAGGCTCCTCCTTAGGACATTCCTCTCTACCCCCAAGCCCTGACCGATCCTCAGGGTCGTCCCTTGTACCCTCGTCTCCATCTCATGGGCCTGGCACCTTGTCTGTGCTCGAGAAACTGTCCATCACTGTCAGGGCAAACCCCAAACCCAAACTCCTAGCACATGTCAAGGATCTCCTTGCGTCTTTTGCCTTTACGAGAGGTTCGTCAGGTTTCTAGGACTGTAAATAGCCACTAATCCATTTAATGTTGTGACTTGATTAATAAGAAGTTGACTTGACCACAATAGTTCCAGGCAGTCTGGGGAAGTTGCACTCACTCCCTGATGTATTTCTGAGAAGTTGGTTGCTGAAGACCCTGGGGACAGGAGTGGAAAGGGGGAAATTCCCAGGGTCCTGGCTGCTTCCCAGCTCCCCCTCCACTGGAACACCAGACACCCAGGAGACCAACCAGAAATGGGCCATGGACAAGATGGCCCGAGTCTTATGGGCCAGAGCAAAGGGAATAATGAAGGCCCCATGATAGGAGTCTCCTGACCCCACCAGAACCCCTTTGGTGGTTCCTCTCTATCCTCAAGGGCAAATCCAGATTCCTCACTGGCTTCCATGGCCCTTTGGGAGCTGGCTTACCTTTCAACCTCACCTAACCCCCACTCAGCCCTCTCACACCACACTCTTTCCTTCAGTTATGCCCATGCACCGTGCCTCCAGGCCTTTGCATATGCTGTTCCCTCTGCCTGGGATGCTCCACACGCACACACGTTCACACATGCTTTTCCAAGAAGCCTTCCCTGAGCCCTCTGTCTGGGTTAGGTGCCACCTTTATGACTGTACTTCTGTCATCACAGCTGCTGCTTCCGGGCACGGCTCTCCTCTAGGCTCAAGCTCTGGGAGGACAGAGGTCGTATCTTGTGCATTACGGTTTCCCCCAGTACCGCACAGAAATATTCTTGGTAAAGATGTGTCGTATCAATGAATGTAGAGTGCAGCCCTGCCTAGAGAGATGCTTCCTACCACCTGCTCTCTATTTCCTGTACGTGGGTGTGCATGCATGTGCATATGTCTGAGAACAGGGAGGGTGAATCCACACCAAGTATTTCCCCAAAAGTGGCTATATAAAAGCATCAGTTAATCCATCAATTATTTTCTTGTGCCTTGGACCTTACTGTGCTCCCCATCACCAAATGCTGGCCCAAAAGGTGTGCACAGAAGATTCAGCCACTCATATTCATCGAGCACTTGTGTGTTAGGCACTGCACTGAGCAATTTATGTGCTAATTTGGTTGAATCCTCACCATGCTTCTATTAGGCAAGTGCTTGCTGTTCCATCATCCACATTGTTCAGGTGAGGAAACAAGTTCAGAGAGCTTGAGCAACTTGCCCTGGGTCACACAGCCATGAAGTGGGGGAGCTGGGGTATGAACCAGGATTATAGGTCTCCGGAGCTTGGGGCTGAACCATCAGACAGCCCACCTGCCCCACATTTGGTGCAAGGTAAGATGTGGGACAGTACAGGCAGGAGATGGAGACCTATCAGTATCTATTCTTGGTGTGAGAGGGGCCCTGGCCCCACTTCTGCAGTCCAGAGATGTCTGGAGATGGCCGGAGCTGGGGTGGGGGACAGGAGGAAGCTGCCTCCCCAGGTTGGGAGGACCAAGTCATGATAAAGTGGCTGGGGTTCTGAGAGAATTAGGACTGGTCAGGATTCAGACTTGTTCACAGAAAGGGCCAAGTTCTTCCTTCTGGGGGCCCTCAGTAGTTCCCCAGAACACAAAGACCCCTTCCTGGACTTCCCCAGGCCCCAGGCCCCCTGGAGACCTAGGATCTAGCTAGCAGGGGCCTACCTCTCCCCCAAACCCACCTCCTGCCCAGTCCTATCAGGTCTCAGCAGGTGAAAGGGCTCTGGAAAGATGCTGGCTTCATTCTTAGTCCCATCTTATGGTTTTTCCCCTTAAACAAGAATGCAGGTCTTTTTTTTCCAGTCCTTTGAAAGCTGGCTCAGGCGGATAATAGACTGGGCGGGACAATGGCTGGCTGGCTGCAGGCATCCAAACAATTCCAGCCCAAACCCCCAGGATTTTACGAAAAGCCACTCCCAGGCCTTCCACAAACTGTCCCATTCAGGTTGCCCCAGAGGCTCAGGCACCCCTGCAGCTTTCCTTCTCCCATTTCATAAAGGAAACGAGCTCAGAGCTCAGAAGGGGCTTGTCTCTGGCCCTCAGCTGCCACGGCAGGGCAGGGACTAGAGCAGATCATGTCCCCTGCAGCAGAAAAGACCAGGACTGCCTTTCTTTACCACCAACCCTCATGCACTGACCTCCCTCCTGCCTGTCCCTGGTCCCTGCTGGATGGGTCTCTTCCGGGAACTTGTTGCCACCTATCCTTTCTCATCCTTCAGGTGTTTTGGGTGCCAGGTATTGCATTATCTCATTTAATTCTACCACCACCCCTTCAAAGTAGGCCCTGTTAGTATTCGGGTTGTACAAATGATGAAACTGAGGCTCAAAGAGGTTAAATGACTTGCTCATATCACTCAGCGGGGAAGAGGTAAGGGCAGGATTCAAACTCTGGCAGGCTGACTCCAGGGTCCCCTTCCTCAGACCCTCTGCTGCCTCCCAATAATCAGACCATGTCCTGCTATCTTCCCTCCCCAGGCCAGCCCTGGAGTCCTCTTTCATAATCTCCCCCTCCAATCTGTGCCAGCCAACATCATCCACCTCCCTAGTGACCAAGTAGGTGCCTGCTTCCTCTGGGCAGTTCCAATGGGACCAGGTTTCTTTCCCTTTGGGAGAGGACCTGGATGAGTCACCTCCTCCTACCTCCCTGCACAGTGCACAGCCCACAGACCTGAATTAAATCCACATGTTCTAGAGCACAGTGCGTGCCTGCCATAGACCAGTGGGGGATGACAGTGACCATGCAAACAGCCCATCCTGTGGGACCAGAGTCCAAGCGGAGATGCATAGTAGTCGTGGAGACGAGTATGTGAAGGAAGGAAATATCACCACTGTTGTCAGAGTCCAGACGGGAAAAAAACAGAGAATGCAAGAGACAGGGATGGTCAAGGAAGGCTGCTGGGGGATGGCATGTGAGGGGACACTGAGGGATGGGACAGAGCTGGCCAGGCAGAGGAGACGGCAGGCAAAAGCACTGCAGGGAGAGCAAGGCTGGTGTGTTTGAGGGACAGAAAGGGGGCCTCTGAGGAAGAGATTAAATAGACCCTCCAGTCCTGTCTCTGCACCTGCGTGCTGCTGGGCGTCATTCATTCCTCCATCAGAAAGATGGTGTCGAGGAGGATTTGCTATCATGCCTTCCAGTACTCTGACAAGACCTCAGATGCCTGGCCTTCTGGCCTAGGGTCTGCGATTTCATACTGTGGAGCCATCACTGTGTCCCTGGAAGTTGCAGCTTTCTAGAAGTTTGCTGTGGCTAAATCAAAAAAGAAGGCAGATGCAGATTTCTACGGAAACTATGATTCCAAGGAAGATTTGAGGAGGTGAGGGAGGCTGGTATCTTTCAGAGTGCAAAGTGATCTTGGAATGTAAAGAATTTCTCTGGGCCATGGCCGGTGTGGCTTAGTTGGTTGGAGTGTCATCCTGTACACCGAAAGGTTGTGGTTTGATTTCCGGTAAGGACATATACCCAGATTGTGGGTTCGATGCCCAGTTGGGGTGCACACAGGAGGGGATTGACGTTTCTCTCTCTCTCTCCCTCTTCTCTCCAAACTCAATTAAAATTTAAAAAAAAATAATTTTAGGGGGTTGAATTCCATAGAAGTTTATCTGACCTGTGTTCCTGGACTATCAAACATAAATATTTGAGCTATGGAATTGTTTCTTTTGATAAATAAACAATTAAGAAAAACTGTGTAAAATAAATGAATAAATAAAAATTGCCCTGGCCAGTTTGGCTCAGTGGTTAGAACATTGGCCCGTGGACCAGAGAGTCCTGGGTTCGGTTCCTGCTAAGGACATGTACGTGGATTACAGTTTGTCCCTACTCCAGTTGGGGTCGTGTGGGTGGCAACCACTTGATGTATCTCTCTCACATCGATGTTTCTTTCTCTCTCTCTCTTCCCCCCTTCTCTCCTGCTCTATCTGAAGATAAATGCCAAAATGTCCTCTGGTGAGGATAAAAATAAATAAATAAATTAATTAAATAAAATAAAATAAAAAGGCCCTCCAGCACTGAACGGATACTCGAAGCAAAAGTGGTGAGGGTTGGCCGCCTGGTTCAGTGAAGGGTGATGGTGGCCGTGGCAATGGGGAAGCGGGTGAATTCCGGGTAGTACTTTGGAGGCAGAGTGAAAGAACAGTCTAGAAGGGACTTCAGTACTCATGCAGTGACCCCTTCCTTTCAGAGGAGAAGGAAGCCCAGGGAGGGGCAGGGGCTTGTGGAGGAGTCTGGGGTCAGGTGAGAATTGGACCCCAGTCTCCTCAGTCCCAATCCAGGTCCCACCACCCCAGGGTTACTGCCTGGGAAGTGTTACTGCACTGCCCCTGGGGCAAGTGGTGAGACCCCCCCAACTCATATAGCAGAGTCAGGGCAGGTGCTGCTGGGGGCGGGTGACCCCAACACTAGCTAGCATCAGGCCTGGGCTGGGTCAGGAGAGGACCAGGGATGTCGATGCCCAGGTCGGGGCTGTGTGCTATATCCCAGAAGCACGCAGCAGCCCTGGTGGCCTCAGACCAGGCCAGGCTCCAGCCATGTCCCTGAGCACTGGGCCAGGGATAGACAGTTCCTCAGCCTGAGGCAGGGGTTACTCTATTGGAACTTGGTGGCTCGGAGGGTCAGCCTTAGAACTGCACAGACCATACTTCCTGGTTTCCCTCTGTCCCCTCTGCCCTGGGGAGGCACCTCCCACTGAGTACAGCCCTCTTTCCTACTACACATGGATGGAACAGCTGAGTCTTCCTCAGGTCTGTGCTCTAAGAGGCCAGGACTAATCAAGTTGAGCTTGGTCCAACCCCCTCTATCATGTCTGCAGGTAAAATGAGCCACACAGAGAGGCATCTAGGATTTTAGGACAAAGGAAGGCAGACTATCAGCTAACCAGCCCCATGGGGGTGGCTGGGATAGGAAGGATGCACACTGGTGGCCGCCTACTCACCGTGGCAGTCTGCTGCTGTGTGGCCTGGGCTGCAAACCGGGCCACGTGGTTGATGATGGGAGAGAAATTGGTGGGGCCATAGAAGCGGATGTGGGGCAAGCAAGCCGAATATGCCTGGGCGATGCCGTCCACACCTGTCTCGGAGACAAGAGTCTAGATCAGCCTGGTCCCCCCTGACCCCACACCTGCCTAACTGCTGACCAAGCGTCATTTAATGCTTACCCCAAATGTCCCTCCTGGGGGCTCCCAGAGGGTAGGGCCAGGGTGGTATAAAGAGCCCTGAATGTGGAGTCAGATGGGCCTGTGTTCAAATCTTGCCTTTGCAACTTCTTAGCTGTGGGACCTGCAGCACGTATAATCTTTCTGAGCCTATTTCTTTGTCTGTTCATGAGACTGATAATCTACTTTGGGGCAGTTGGCAGGAAGGGGTCCAGCAGGCTTGGAAAACCCTGCGACGACACTTCAGGGCCCCAGAATATCTGCCTGCCCTGTGGTTCTCTCTAGAAGGTCTCTAGCCAGAAATGAGATTGACTAACATGAGCTTGGACAAACCACCTCTGGAGACCTGCTCCAAACCAGACAGACCCCAGCAGGAGTACAGGGTCACATTTCTTGCCAACAGATGGCTTCTGAGTCACAGCATTGTCCCTAAGTTGGTGACTTGATGCTTTTCCCTTCCAAGTACAAATCAGGCCTGGCTTTGGGGCTCCCCAAGGAAGGCGGATTGCTCACCCAAGCCAAATCCTAGGCTGAAAAGTGCCATGATGGCAGGGACCACCCTCTTCCATACCCACCTGGAGCTCCTTTTCCTCTTCCATTACTTTCTTAACTGACTCTGGGGGCTCAGAAATCCTCTAAGGCCTTGGGGTAGGGGTGAACACAGACACCATGCTGAGTGCCTGCCCCTTCCTCTTCCCCTCCCCAGGCAACCTTCAACCCTTGGGTGCCAAGATTCTCTGTGAAAGGCAGAGCAGGTGGGACAGGGCTGGGCCCTCCTAGCGAGAGCTGGCATGAAGTGAGAGGCAGGCGTGTAATTTTCCACCCTCACCTCCTCTTGGTCTACCCAGAGCTTTCTGTCAATGCTTCCCTGAATTCTCACCTGACCACAGTGAGGTGAGCTAAGCAGGTATCAATACAACTCCCTAGGGCAGGTGAGAAGCAAAGGCTCAGAGAGGTGCAGTGATCTCTCCAAGGTCACACAGCCAGGAAAGGGCAGCAGCTAGCCTTGAATCCAGGACTGCCTGACTCCAACCTCCAACTCTTTCCCCATCTGTCATCTTGAGAAAGTGTGATGGGGAGGGGAGAGGAAAAAGGTACGTAAATCTGTACTTTGCCCTCCCTCCACCCCGGGGAATGGCCTGGTGTAAATGCAGGGCAGATGCAGGGAGGCTTGATGCTCACCTGAGCAGAAGGGGTTGGTTGGGTTGAAGTTGATGGCAAACTCATGGGAGACCTGAAATACAGAGAAAATGCTGAGCTGGCAGCCTCCTGGCCCCAGGCCACCCACCTGGTAGGCCCAGGTGTACCCCCTTCCTCCTGCCATGCCCAGACTCCCTCTGGCTCTTTACTGCTCCCCTCCCCAAGGTCAGGGCTATTGATGCCCCATATCTGCTTTTCCCTCCATTGCTGGGTCTGACCCACACAGAGAGGCCCATCCAGACCCATCCACATCACCGATCTCTCCCGCAGGATCAGGGCTGCTTGTGGCTCCGCCCCACCACGAGAGTCCCTGAGTGGGGCAGAGATGCCTCTGAGGGCCATGGGTCTAGGAGCACTGGGAATGTCCCTTTGTCACCAGCTCTCACTGTGCTGGGGCCATAACCAGAGTTCCCCTTCATCAAAGGGTGACCTGCACACTCCTGGATGCCACTGGACCCACGACAATCAGGAACAGAGGGACCAGTAATTAGACCCCGCTCAGGGCTGCAGGTAGGACTGGGTGGCCACAGAACCTGGGGCCTCAGGAGAGGTCAGGGTTCAGATGAGGGACCCCCCCCTCCCCTGCCAAACACCCAACTCAGTCCCCTTCCCTACCGTGAGCCACACCCCAAGTTCGGCTTTGCAGTCATCCTCCCCCTCCTTCATTACAACACTCAGTGTTCTTACCCCATTTTTTAGATGATGAAACGGAGACACAATGTACTAGAATGTTCCCACGGTCTCACATTTACTGAAGGGCAGAGCTGGGACGAGAACCGAGGTCAGGATGCCTCCTCAGCCCCCGTTCCATAAAGCCACTAACCTCAGAAGGTGTTCCTGCCCCGAGGGTTTTACATTAGGAGGGTTTGAGGTCCAGGCCGGGAGAGCTTCAGGCTGGGCACAAACCATCCCAGACGCTGTGGCTCCGAGACACTACAGTGGAGGTGCTGGAAGTCCAGTGTCCCCATTTCACAAATAAACACACTGAGGCCCAGAGAGGGGAAGCCAGGTGCCAAGGCCCCTGCACAACAGGCCAGAGGCCCAGGTCCTCATGCCTCAAGGTGGGGCTGGACCCCAGACCTTGGGGAGCCCTCCTGTGCCAAGAAGGGAGGGACTCACCATGGGGAGTTCACCCTGGCGCAGCCCTGAGGGTGGCAGATGGCCTGTTCTAGGGAATGGGTGGTTCTGTTCTTTGCTCCTTCGGCTCTAAGTGCCTGTCATGGAGCCAGTCCCCTGATGTCCCTCTCAGGCCCTGCCCCTGCCCAGGGGCCCCCTTGACCCTGTCCCCAGTCTGGGTTCCAGATGTAGGGGCTGGAGGTCCTCATTGCCATAGCAACTTCATGAGCCTCTGTAGAGATTTAGAGGGGGCTTGTGTGGAGGGGGCTGAGAGAGGAAAATGGTTGCCAAGGAAACAGGCCTCCCTTGGGCCAACAATTTCCTACAAATCAAATTTTAGGAGATTTTAGAGACCAAGGGGGAAGAGCCCCTTCTGAGAGTGTGGATTAATATCTCCCTTTCTCAGCCATCTTCATTCCCCCGCTCCTTTCCCCTCTCGGGGGGGGGGGGGGGGGGGGGGGCTAGTGTAACCTGAGGCCTCTCGGGTTACCTATTCTGGCAGTTCCCTTTCATAGGTGGCAAAACAGGATCAGAGAGGACCAAGGAATGCCTATGTCCACGCTGCCTATGGACAGCCCCCTCCCATGCTTGTTGGCCTAGTTTGCTTGAAAAATGCTAGTAAACAGAACAAGCTTTCTGGAGGCCACACCAAGCCGATTAGGGGCCCCTGGGGACTGGCTGGCCACAGGTCTTTGTCCTGGGACTCCCTGCGGCCTGTGACAATCAATGGTCCTCGTTCGCCCCAACTGGCCCTGCCCGGACCCTGGTCAGTGAGTTACTTAAGACGCATTCACTGTGGCCCCAGCAGGGGCAGGATGGTAGAAGGAGGCTCAGAGGGAGCTGACCTCAGAGCTGTCCTCCGTAAGCCTCAGTTTCCCCATCTGTAAAGTGGGGAGAGTCATACACTGTGTTCCTCCCCACCCCAGACTTCCTTCTGCCCAATCTCTCTCTTCATCTAACTCTGGCTCAGTGTGAAGGTCAAGCCCTCACACCATCTCCTCAGGGAAGCACTTTCTTCGTCCTTCAGCCACTGCCCAGGCCAGGGAGGAACTAAGGCCCCAGGCAGGCAGCTGGTCCGAGGGTCCTTCTAGCTCCTTCCAGGTCCCCACCCTCAGAGAACCAACGCCTCTGGCTGCTCAGGCCACTGGGCCCCAGAGGGAGGCACTAAACAAGCAAACCCACGCATCCAGAAGTGACCATGGTTCTGTGAGGCCAGTGCCCGCAGGGGGGTGGGGCAGGGGATGATCTCTCCCTGAGAAGCAGTGTGGGAGTGAGTGGAAGTGAGCAACAGGCTTAGGTGGGAAGGGAGGAAAGAAGGTTCATGTGGCAGGAGCAAGGCGAGTTAGAATGAGAGGGAGGCTGAGGGGCCAGGAGGGGCCAGGCCTGGAAGGGGAGGTGGGACAGAGTTATCTGTCCTCCCAGCCTGGTTCCGCATTCCTCCGGGCACCAGCGGGCACTCCAGCCAGGCCAAGCCCCTGTCTTCTCAGAGTTGCCCTGTGACATTGTCAAGGAATCTTGCGCAAGAGAATATCTCATTGAGCCAGTTCTTTGAAAGCTGGTTGGTGTCCTAGCAACAGGCTCCTGCAGGGCCTACCAGCACCAGCCGCCCTGCCCCCTTTCCCTGGGCACCATTTTGGTCCTGCAGGACCCTGCCCCTACCACATGATGGCCAGCAGGTCCCATCGCCACTCTCTGAAGTTCTAGGTGAAAATCGTCCTCCCTGGGGAGGTGGGAGGGGAATGCTCACTCTGGAAAGAGCATGCAGCACAGCAAAGCGGACAAGAAGGTGCACCGTCTGAGACACATGCAGGTTTAGAAGCCTCCCGTGTTCACCCCCCAGGGTTTTCATCGAAGAGGCAGCAGATTCTGAGAATAAACTTCAGAATCCATTTGCCCAGTTGGAATCTAGACCTCCGTTGTAAATATGACCTTGGCAGGTCACTTGAACCTCTGTTCTTTCACCTGTAAAATGAATGTCGTCCCTTCTCTCCATCCCTCCATCCTGCCCACCCTCACCCCAGCCAGTCCCCACTCAGCAGCCAGTGTGGGCCTTCAAATATGCCGGCTGGATTATAACACTCGCAGCGGCCCCTCTTGCTCTTTAATGTGCGTTTGAGGCCCTGCATGGCTTGCCCCCTACCCCTCCAGCCTCATATCTTTCCATCCTGCCCATCTTCCACTGACAGTCCATCACGCCTCCCTTCCTTCTGTTCCTCCAACTGGCCCTGCTTCCTCTGCCACCCAGACTTTGCACAGGCTGTTCTCTCTACCACGCTCTCTGCCCACTGCCACCCCCAGTCACTCTGTGAATTCCTACTTTCCCTTCCCCTTTTGGCTTAGACCATGCCTCCTCCAGGAAGCCTTCCTTGATATTCCCAGGCTGAGTTAGGGCCCTCCGCTGGCTCATGCTGCCCCACCTCGGCCTTGATGACCCTGCCTGTCTTTTTTTTTTTTTTAATCCTCACCTGAGGGCATTTTTGTACCCACCTTCAGATAGAACAGGAGGGAAGGAGAGAGGAAGAGAGAGACAGAGAGAGAAACATCACATCAAGTGGTCACCACCCACACGACCCCAACCGGGACCAGGGACAAACTGCAACCAGGTACATGCTCTTAGCGGGACCTGAACCCGGTACTCTCTGGTCCGTGGGCTGACGCTCTAACCACTGAGCCAAACTGGCCAGGGGGACCCTGCCTGTCTTTAGCGTTGCCAGACAGAATACAGACTCCCAGTGAAATCTGAATTTCAGATAAACAATGGATATTTTAGTATAAGTATATCCCAGGCAATATTTAGGACACAGTTATACCTAAAAAACACGTTCATCTGAAAGTCAGTGGGAGTCCTGTGTTTTCACTTGTTCAATCTTGTATTCTCCTCATCTCACCCACCTGACTTGGGCACTGGGGGGCAGGAGCAGCACTGCCCTGCGCTGGCTGACAGCCCCAGCACCTGCGTGAGGTTCAGGCTCCGAAGGAGCCTGGTTTGGGGGCACCTCGGAGAAGGCAGGGCAGCTGGGCCCGAGCACCAGCCCTTTCCAAAACTGACCTTGGAAAGACACACACACAAATCCCGTCTCAGCCCAGAGGAAACAGTCCAACTTCACTCACCTTCCAGTCCGGGGGTAACTGGGCCCCGAACCCTAGGGCCGGAAACATCTTATCACTAATAAGAGAGAGGAAAACAAGGCACTGAAACAATGAGCCAGTGGCCTCCATCTGCCCACGCTCTCCCTTCCCAAGCCCCTGCCCAAGGGGCCCCTCTGTCCTGTGCGTCTCCGAGGACAGAAGGAAAAAGCTCACCACCTCCAGCAAAGCTCTGTTCAAGTGACCCATCGGGCCCAAACCCACCTCTGGGTGTGACCTGACACCACCTACACTCGTGGCAGACACAGAACTTCTACCAATGGTCCTGGGCGCAGCTCCTAGACCCTTCTCAAATTGGGACCTCATGCAGCCGCCAAGTCAGGCCTGACGTAAGTGAAATGTACCGGCTAAATCAACCTTCCTATTAGGGAGGGAAATTCTCCCGAAATGAGAACCCTGGTTGGCATGCAAGGCCCTTCAGCATCCAGCCCTTGAGCCTAGTCTCCCCTTTCACCTGCCCTCTCCCACACCCTACTCACCAACCCTGGCCACTGGCCACTCACTGTCCCCAAACACACAGGGCACCTTCACACTCCAACCTCAGTCCTGTGCACCCTGTCCTGAAATACCTCTCCTCATCTGTTCCGGGCCAAACTCCTCCTGTTCCTCTAAGGCTCAGTTCAGATGGCCCCTTCTCTGTGGTTTCCCTAACAGCCCAGGATCCCGCTCTCGGTGCTGCTCCCTTAGCTCCCGCCTCACATGTAAACTGGTCTCTCGAAACTCCAGTGACTTCTTCCTCATCTCTCCCCTCAAGTAGAAACTTCCTGAAGGTAGGGCTCATGTCTCGACTGAGTTGGATGGAACCGGAGCTGCCCTTCAGAGTCCCTCCCCAAGCTTACCTGTCATAGTCCTGAATGATCTGTCCCACAGCCCAGATGGCCGACAAGTATTCGTTGGTGCCCATGGGGTTGATATAGTGCAGAGAGGAGGGGTCGAAGGGATTCCCGTTGGAGGCTGTGAAGTCTATCCCAACCTGCAGAGGGGGAGAACGACCACCACTGTGGCCCGAGACCACAGCTGCCCTGCTCACCCCCTGGGCACAGAGAGGCCCACTCATCTCCCAGCCCCCCCTTCCCTAAGAATGTCTGAAACCTGGCAACGGTCAGTTACAGCCCTCCTCTGGCTCTAGTGCCACCTGTGGCTCACTGTGGCCTGAGCTAAGTCTGTTATCCAGATGGGACACAGCTAACTTAGCGTCCCAGAGGCCTTTTCCCTCTCACTGTCCCTCCCACACGCTCACCCACTCCCGTGCCAGGCTTGCACTCGCGCGGGTCCCTCTACCTAAAGAGCCAGGCGGCCATCTTCTCTCCCTGTGTAACTCCTCCGTCTTCTAGGCCCAGTTCAGATGCTGCCTTCCCAGACAACTTACCCCCACCCCAAGCCAACTCCTCATCCCTCAGACCAAGGGGCCTGGGGACCTGGGGCTGCCAGTAGGTCAGTGCCCAACTCCCCATTCTGATCGATGCCCACTGTAGACAAGATGCATGCCCCAGAGGAGCCAGGTGAGGGCTGGGCACAGGGCACCGGGTAGGGGCTCGACAGGGACTGGGCTGACAGTGGCCAGGGATCCAGGCTCTGCCTGCGTTCAGCCTTGAGGGAACCCCAGCCCAGACCTTGGAGGGGTAGCACAGAGGGGTGGGCAAGACTGTCCAGCAGGGGTTATGAGAGGGACCCTGGGGAAGAGGTGGCCACCTTAGAACTGCGTGGCTGTGGGGTGGATCGGCTCCTGAGGTCAGGGTGGCATGTCTTAGTCTTCGAGGGACCCTTGCAGGGGCACAGCCTAGAGTCTGGCACAGAGAAGGAGCACCCGTTTGCTGAATGAGCACAGGCACTCAGGAGGAAGAGGACGGCCCAGCCTCTGTGGATGAGGGGGCAGTGGGCACCAGTGAGTGAGAGGTCAACAGGGCCCGCACCCTGACTGCACATAGTCCTGCGGCTGACCTGCGATTCTCATGGACCTGGAGGCGGGGATGGCAAGCCGTGAGGCCAGGTGGGTAGGTGGGCGGAGCCTGGGACCCCGGCAGGGTTTCCCCTGGGCCTGAGGCTTCCCTTGGGGTAAAGAACAAAAGATGAGATGACGGGGACAGAAGTGTGCAGGGCGTACACTCCACAGGCAGAGGAACAAGTCCCCTTGGCAGCATTTACTGAGCATCTGCTCCGTGCCGGGCACTGTGTGATATGCTGAGGTGGGAGCAGAAACACAATAAGGCCCCACACTTAGAGCACTACTGGCCTAGTCGTAGGACAGACAGGGATGAGCAAAACATGCTTCAGATCATTTCAGAGTGGCAAGTGCCTGAAAAGCATAAACTAGAAGAAGTGACAGAGGAACAGCAGGCATCAGGGAAGAGCTCCCAGGGCACAGGCGACCTCTGTGCCCTGGCCTGCAGGATGGCACGGCAGCCACGAGAAGGGTCCAGGAAAGAGTGCTCTAGGCAGAAGGAACAGCAAATGCAAAGGCCTAAGACAGAGCAGGGTTTGCTCTGTTGGGAGAACAGTGAGGTCCTGTGTGGAAGGAGCCCAGTGAGCGAGAAGGAGGGGAGCAGATGAGGCAGGAACCAGCGAGGAGGAATTTGCTTTTTCCTTCCGAAGGAGTGCAGCCAGCAGACTCTGGCCTGGGCAGCCACGCGCGGACCTGCGGCTGAGGACGCAGGCCCATCTGCCTCTGGCACACACCCTCTGCCCTGGGGAAGCCTCTTTTGCTGCAGTCCAGCCAAGCCCTTAGGGAGGGTCCCCACTGGGGAGGGGGAGCCTTACGGTGAACATGAGCTGGCAGCCTCCCAGGATGTAGTCCAGGAAGGAGTAGTTCCGGTTTATCTGGAAGGAACCAGCGAGTCAGTCTCTGCCCTATCCCTGAGGATGGCCCTCCACTCAGCCACTCTCCACGGATGACCTTTGGGGAGCTTTTGGTCTGTGCCCTAAAACCTTACTAGGGTCAAGGAGACCAAAAAAGGCAGATGACAGACTTCGATCTGATTACAACAAAATCCAAATCTCTAGAGTACTCAGGGTAACAGTTCCCAGTGAGCAGGACACACACACACACACACACACACACACACACACACACAGATGTGTGATGACGGCAGGGGTCCCAGGACCCAGCCTCGATTATACCTGCCAGTCACCTGCCAGAAAGTCTCCAGTTGGTATGCGGCCCATAAGCTTCCCTGCTGTTCCCAACCTCTGCTCTGAGCAGACAGGGCCTGGCCTCTATCAACTAACCGAGCTGCTGAACATTATTCTGATCTTCCTTTAGGCAAAGGGTACTGGCTTTCCAATTTTGATAGAGTTATAAGGTTTCCTTTCAACATAAATGCATTTAAATAAAAAAACAAAAACAAAAAAAAACAGAAAGGTGGCTGGGAGGAGGAGGGGCTGCTGATGACAAATATATGACAGGTGCCAAAAATGATAAAAGGGGAGTGTAAATGACAGACGTTTCAGAAACAGGGATCCACAGCCATGACGCTGCGACCTGACAGCTTAGCACACACAGCACACACAGCACACACAGCACTCTCATGCTGCGGCCTCACCAGTGATGTCCATGTAGACCCCTGGACCCTCTCCACCAGCTCGACAGCGTGGTCTCCAGGCCCGGACAAGGCCTGGGGTCTGGGGTCCGCCAGCTGGTGGAGAGGGTCCAGGACTCACTCAGAACCTTCAGGCCTGGCACCCAGGGCTCTAGCTGCCCTGGCCCAGGGTGCCTTCTTTAATATGCTGCCCAATTCCAACAGACACTGGCCCCTGACAGCCCAGCCACTGCTGGCATGATCTTCGTGACCTTTCTGGGCCTCAGTGACCCCGTCTATACCATGGGAGTCACAGTTACCCAAGCCCTCACCGATGTCACTGCCAAAGGACAAAGTGTCCTGGCCCAGTACCCTTTGCCCCTCGGATGTCCAACATGCAATGGGCAAGCAGCAACTTCCGCTCCGGAAGCAGCAACTCCCTACAGTCACCCTCCACCTAAGAGGGGCTCTGGAAGGTCATCTCATGTCACCTTAACCTCTGTGCAAGGACGTGATATGAGACTAGCCCTTTACTTGCTTGACCTCATTAACATCCCCATTCTACAGATGAGGAAACTGAGGCCTAGACAGATTCAGCTCTGAAGGTCACAGAGCTAGGACCAGGATTGGCACCTAGGTCCTGCCATGTGCCTCCCCCACTCCCCTCTGGCTCACCTTGCAGGATCTCAGGATAATAATGCCCGAGTTTTTATAGTTCTTCTTTTTCCTCTGCTTCTTGGGGTTGATGCACTCGAACTCCAGCTGGGCAACACGGGAGGAGGGAGAGAAGCTCCCCTCAGGGTCTGCATGGGGACTGACTCTCCCCTGGACCTCAGAATCCCTTCCACAGCATTGACCAGGGTAGCATGCCTCCTCCAGGAAGCCTTCCTAGATGTCCACACCCAGAAATGGGTCCTGCCACCTGGGTTTACACCAAGCTGTGGTTCCTCAAAGTAGGAGGAGCTGCATCTACCCCAACTCCCAGATAACACATCCATGTCATATCCTCTCATGAGCCCAGAACTGTCACCCAAGGCCTGACTTCTCAGGGTGTTACATGGAGAGCTCCTGAGTGTTCACTGTGTGTCAGGCACTTTACCTGTGTCATCTAATTCCCATCTACTCCACCCCCATTTGACATATGGGGAAACTAAGGCTCAGAGAGATTTGGATATCTTGCTCAAGGTCATACAGCCAGAGAGGTGAAATCTGAGTCCAATTCTGCCTGATTCAAAAACCTGTGTCCCCTCCCTGTGCCCTGCTGAGGTCTTGGGATCACACACATGCCCATCTTACCGGGATGCCATCACGAGCCTCACACATCTGTGACACCAAGGTCTGGAACTCGCCGATGAAGTCATGGCCTCCATCATTGTCATAGTCGTAGCACATGACCTGTGGTGGGTCCAGTGAGGTCACCCCAGAGCTGCTCCTGAAAGGGGAGCTCTCCAGCCCCTTAGCCCCCTGGGAAAACCCCACATCTTCTTCTGGTGGTGCCTCCCTCTCCCCCTAGCACCTGCCCAGATGGCCTGGGATGACGCTGTTGGCTCCCAAACTGCCTCCTGTAGGAAGCCTTCCATGATTGCTGGGAAAAAGAGAAAGTGTGCCACCCAGCAGTGGAGGCTGTGCCCTCTGGTGCAAGCTCAACTCCTCATACTCATTCGGCTCCTTGCCCACCAGGCTTCATGGGCCATGGCCTGGAGCCCCCTACCCCTGAACCCAAAACTTCTTCCCCCTGAGATGGGCACAAAAAAATCCTAGCTTTATATGCTCTCTAACTTAGCTGCCATGACACTCATAGGAGGAAGGAAGGGATTATTGTACCCATTCTCCTGATGGGTAAACTGAAGCCCTAAGAGGGAAGCACTTGTCCAAAGTCTCGCAGTGGCCGTAGGGGACACAATACTAGAACCAGGTGTCCTGAGAACTGTCTGGAGATCCCAGACGGGCCTAGCGGCCTCGCTCCACCCCACCTGCTATCAGACATGGCCCCTGAGGACTGAGGGCATTTAGAGATTAGTAATCTTTTCCTCGTCACAGCGACAACACTGGGTCTTTCCCAGGGGTTTCCACATTCATTACGCTACCTAGCAGCTGTGCAGGCCTCAGGGATAACAGGACAGTCACCCTGTTTTAGAGAAGGGGCTCACAAAGCTGGCAGCCTTGCCCCAGGTCACTCAAGTGGTCGGGCAGACCAGGGATGAGGACCCAGGTCTCCTACTCCTCCCCCAAGATGGGCTCTCTTTCCATCTTAAGAAGAAAGAGCTTCGCCAGGGCATCCCCAGGAGGCCTCAGGTACATGGGAAGGATGGAGCTGGCAGAGGGGGAGCAGGGCTCCCAGAGCCCCCTCACCTGGATGGGCTTCTCCATGTCCCCATCACACAGGGACACCAACGGCACAGTGAACGGCTTCCACACAGGGTCCAGTGTGTACTTGATCACCTGCAGGACAGTGAAGGGCAGCAGTGTGCTGAGGTCAGGTCAGCCCATTGGGTCAGGGAGTGGCAAGATGGAGACTCACAGCCACGCTTCCGAGAATGGAAGCGGGCACCCCTGTGGCAGGGACAACAGATCCTTCAGGCACCATGGCGTGTTTCCCTGCGCACTGCTGGGCTGTGACTGCATAGCCCCATCCTGACCACTGGGGGCAGCTGGACAGCAGACCCACTGGCTTAGAGCCCCCCAGCCCCCACGCACCTACCTCAGTCCTGTGGACCAGCATCCACTTGCCATCATCTCCTGGCTTATAGAACTCGAGAAATGGGTCTGACTTTCCAAAGAGGTCCTGGAGGAAGCAGGAGATGCAGGTGAGGGAGGCACAGCAACGGTCAGATGGGAGGGGTGCGGCCCAGCGGCCTCAGGGTGGAGCTGTGGGCAGAGTCAGCCTGGCCTCTGGCCCCTCTCCCCTCAGCCTCTGCAGGGCTCAGTGAGGCCCAGAGCTGCTGAAGGCCTCTGGGACCAACTACTGCCCCCCCGGAGAAACACCCACCCTGGGGTTACCACAGCTTATACTCAGAAACCCTGAGGCCTGGAGCCTGCGGGAGCACAAGGCCAGCATCTTAGACCAGGCAGGACTTCAAAGGACGATTGTTCCCGGTGCAAGGGGAGGCCACCAGCAGGATGTGATTCTAATTTATTTTAATGGGAATCTTAAAAATGGCAGTTCTCCCAAGAACACTACAAAAGGGATAATGATGTACTTTTTTTTTATCCTCAACTGAGGATACTTCAGATAGAGCGGGAGGGAGAGAGGGAGGAAGAAAGACAGAGAAACATCGATGTGAGAGAGACACATCGACTGGTTGCCACCCACACAACCCCAACTGGGGCTGGGGACAAACTGCAACCTTAGCGGGAACCAAACCCGGGTCTCTCTGGACCGCGGGCCGATGTTCTAACCGCTGAGCAAAACTGGCCAGGGCAATGATGTACTTTTAAAATCCATTTATTTAAGTTAAAATGAAGTGTGACTCTAAGAATCTGTAATCAAGTGGGGGGGGGGGCAGAAAATAAATCAGTAAATAATGTATATCAGGCAGTAATCAGTATTAAGGAGACAAGTAAAACAGGAGGAGTAGGAAATCAGGGACACTACAACTTTGGGGATAGCCTTGCTGAGGAGGTGACATAAGAGTAAAGGCCTGCCCAGCTGTGTGGCTCAGTGGTAGAGCGTTGACACATACACCAAGAGGTCACTGGTTCGGTTCCCGGTCAGGGCACATGCCCAGGTTGTAGGCCCAATCCCCAGTGGGGGATGTGCAGGAGGCAGCCAAACAATGTCTCATCGATGTTTCTATCTCTCCCTCTCTCTCCAAAAAGTAATAAAGAAAAAAATTGTTTTTTAAAAAGTAAAGGCCTGATGGAGGTGAGGGGCCATCATGAGAATCTGCATAGAAAAGAACATTGCAGGCAAGAGGGAACAGCATGTGCAAAGGTCCTGCAGCGGGAGGGTGCCTGGCATAATTCTGGGACAAGGAGGAGGCTGATTTTGCTGAAGCAGAATGAAGGTGGGAAGAGTGAAAGGGGGGAGTAAGGGGGTCTGGGGCTGTGCACACACCAGGTGGGGCCCCACAGGTTACTGTAAGGATCCTAGCATTTACACAAAGGGAGATAGGACCTCCCAAGGAGTGGGTCTTGACAAGGAGCCATGTCTTGAATACTTCTAAGTAATGAGAAACTCACTACCTCAATAGTGAAGAGGTCCTAATTTAGGATAGCCAGTACAGCCCTGTGCTACAGGTTTGTCCCTCAGTGGGGGTGATGACAGTGGTGGCCAGAAGTTTCAGGGCTAGGCCACATAACCCTGGGGCTGGGGGAGGGATACTGCTCCTGGAAGGAGAACCCCCTCTCTGCCCCCTCACCTTCTTGTCCAGCTTCCTGCCTGCCAGACTGAGTGTGATGACCCGGTTGTCTGACAGCTCCTGGGCAGCAATCTGTGAGGCCAGAGGAATGGGAGGGTCAGCACCTGTTGCTTAGATTCCCCCACCTCCTGCCAGGCAGGATGGGCATAGGGTACCCCAGGATTCAATTCTCCAGGGCTAGAAGGGAAAAGGGAGGGTAGGGATAGTGCCAAGTGACCTTGAACAAGTCTCTCATCTTCCCAAAAAGTTTCTTCCTTTAAAAATGGGGTAACCCATCTGGATATGAGGAATCAAAATATGACCCCATGTGGCTCAAGAGAGTGGGCAGGGACCAGACATGAGGGGTGGGCTTGAGCCCTGGAGAGAGGTTCTGGGCCAGAAAGCAGCCTGACAGGCCCCCTCACACCCCCACTGCCGACCCAGAGACCACAGCCTCCAAACACCTCCAAACACCAAGGTATCAGGGATTCCAGCAGCTTCACAGTGCAGCGAGGGAAACTGAGGCCCAGGGCAGGGACAGAAGCCACCTGAGCTCCCTCTGCTGTCTCATCAGCTCACACGTCATCTGTCCGCCATGCCTTCCCCATCAGCCATGGCACTTCTGGGCCCAGCCAGTGGTGAGGGGCCAGCTGGGTCACCCTGGGACTGCCGCCTGCCCTCTCCAGGCCATTCCCTCTCCTGGTCCCCAGAGTGTCAGGGAAGGCCCTCAGGTCCACAGCAGCATGGCAGGCTGGGTCCTCTCTTGGCTAGGGCTTCCCCTCCCCCCACAATTCTAGGATGCCCTGCTCACTGAACATGCTATGGACCCTCTAGAACCACAGACAGAGGCCTGTCTCCCCTTCCTCTCCTCCAGCTGAGACAAGCTCAACAACCCTGTGGGGTGGGTCCTATTGTTGTACCCATTTCAGCGGGGAAGAAGCCCAGGCCTAGAGTGGGGTGGGTGGAAAGGCTGGGGGAATGGCATACCAGTCTGGGTGGGGTCTGCCTGGGATGGCTTCCAGGTCAGGTGATGGGGAGATTTTGAGCCCCAAAAGGTGAGGGGAGGTTGGGACGGGACATTCTAGGTGGCAGAACAGTGGATAAGGGCCTAGAGAATGTGCAAGGGGTGCTGAGAATTCAGTTTGCCTTGAACCCAGGGCGTTCACATGACGGGGGAACCCAGCTGAGGCAGGAGAGCAAGGTGGAGACGCCCGGTCCCTCACCGCCTTGACTGCAAGGCTGCGCAGCCACTGCTGGGCGCCAGGGAGGCTCCAGAGCAGGACGGCGACAGGTGTGAACGCACAGAGTTGGGCCTCCCTCCCGTGCGGCCAGCTCTCTGAATCGCCCAGGCTCTGAAGGGGACATTCCAGGAGAGTCGCACTAGCTGAACGGCCGCAGGCACCTCCTCTCTAGTCCCCTCATCTGTAACCCAGATTCTCTGCCTGCTTGGAATCCGTGAACGCCGAGGAGCTCATCCCCAGGAGCTGTGCACCGCCAGAATCACTGCGCTGGTGGCAGTCACTGCGCATCGCAATCACTGCGCATCGCACTGCGCACTGCAGCCACAGCCTTTCCCGTGGGCAAGTCGCTCCTGAAAGACGCCCAGTGGGAGGACAGGCAGGGGCCAGTTCGGGGAGGGGACGCCAGGAGGGCTCTGGAGGCCTCCAGAGACAAGTAGGAGCGCACCTGCCTCGCTAGTGGGAGGTTGTGGGGGCCTCTGACAACACCCCTATCCCCAGCTTGGCGGCCCCCAATGCATCCTATGTGGAGCCAGGAGCCCGTTGCTAAGAGACCTGTTGCTAAGTTGTAAGTTGAGCCTTTTTACTCCAAACAAAGCTGGTGATTATCTGCCAGGAAAGCGGCCCATTGATGGGGGAGGGCAGCCCTCAGAAGCGGAGGGAGGGGGTGCCCTGGGAAGGGGGGGGGGCGCTGGTACCGTAATCAAGCCCTTCCCTGCAGGCTTGTCATTCATCAGCAGCAGCGGCCGAGTGATCTTCTTGCTGGAGACGATCTGAGGGAGAGGAGAGAGGACCTCCGTGAGGGCTGGCGAGAAGGAAGAATGCTCAACAGACACCACGCACAGCTGCTCCCTGCCGGGGCTGGCTCTCCCTCCCCTGCCGACCCTCATGGGAGGCAGGCAGCAGCTACTGCTAACCCCGCTGGGCGGCGAGGAGACAGGCCCAGAGAGCTGAAGACACTGGTCTGAGGTCCCCCCACTGGCTGGGCTGCCCCGGGAAAAGGCTCTTGCACGACTCACCTTCTGGAGACAACTACTGGGAGTTTGGCCCCTAAGTGCCTCCCCAGAAGCCACTCGTAGGCCCCGCCCTCTTCTGATGGAGAGGCTCAAACCCTGAGTCCCTCCACATGTTTTCATCGGTTCACATAGGAAATACATTCACACAGGCTTCAGTGATCAGTACAACACAGAGAGGCAAAGTGGACCTCACTGTAAAGTCGCCTTCCCACCGTCTCCGTACCTCCATACACCCCATCCCCACATCCTTCATGGGTTCTCGGTTTCTTGGGGGAAATGCCAGGTTTCTTTGTGCTGATATGAGCAGGTTCCCATTCCCCTATGCCGGTCTTTCCCTCCGGCCCCCTCTCTGCCCTTCCCCACATTCCGTGCCGCTGAGGACTGCAGCACCCAGCTCCCCTGTCCTCTGGCTTGGAGGGGTCCGACCAGCGGGAGTGCCAGCAGGGCCAGGGACCAGGCGGGGAGAAAGGCCGGGCTGTGGTTGGCAGAGGTGGTTTTCCTTGCCGTCGGCCTCAGCGGCAGTTCGGAGGCCTCCTCACCATGACCACGCTCCGCCAGGCCCCGCCCACACCACTTCCTGCCCGGGCTCTCCCTCCGGCCTAGGGGTGCCTGGCCCTGGCTGGTGTCTGGTCCCGCGTAGGTTTCCCCTCGCTGGTCAGTTCCCTGCCCCTGCCGCTGGGCCTTAAGCTCTCTCCTCAGTTACTTTTTGAGGTGTGGACACACGGGCAGGCAGGGACCCTGATGGACGCACCCCGCTTTTTACATAACTGTTGAACCCTTGCTTCTTTCATTGAACATCATTTCTTTGAAGGCCCGGGGCATTTCAGTCTCCACTAGGACCTCTCAAAGCATGTTGCATTTTATTCCCGCACCATCCCCATAGGCTGGGCAGTCATCACATCCCCAAGTGAAATATGAGGAAACTGAGGCCTAGAAGGGGCTGGGGCTTGTCCAAGGGCCCACAGCCATGAGGGGTGATTGCAACCTATGATAGGGGGTCATAGCCCTGCAACCTCCCAACCTCCATCAGCTTACCAAGGACTGAGCTAGATGGGCAGATGTGGCCCAGAGAGGGAAAGGCAGTTGCCCAACGTCACACAGTGAGCCAACCACGAAGGAGGACTACCATGGGTGCCTTGGTTGTTGGTCAGAACCTCCTACGCCAGGAAGTCGGGACCACACTTCATTGTTTCTAAAAATCAGTAACTCAGGCCCCATTCCTGTGTGGCAACATTTGGCTGGCACTGTGCTCAATGTCTTCACCTGGCCCCAAACCCACCAAGCCACCTCCCCCCTCTGCCTGCTGGCCCCTCAAGCTGTCTGTGTCTGTGATGCCGCCTCAGGAGCCAGCCAGGAAAATGGGGCCACGGAAAGCTGATGGCAGGAGAGACTCTCTCCCAGGGACTGCCCTGTCTGGGAGCTGGGTGACATTAGGGGGTGGGGGACTGCCTTGCCCCACCCACCGGGAGGGTCCCGGCTCACCACGCCCAGGCTGCAGGAGAGCTGGCCCAGGAAATCATGCTCTTCGAGCTGGGTGCTGGACTTGTCCTGGTCGAACAGGGCGAACTTGAGCTTCTGCACCTCCTCAAAGTGGTAGTCGAGGACAAACTTCTTGGAGAATGCGGGGTTGAGGTTGTTGATGGCAGTTTCTGTCCTGTCGTACTGGACAGAGGCAGGGAAATGGGGGTCAGAGTCAGGTGCTAGCTCAACCCTTCTCAGGCCGCCGTGAGTCACTCTGCCAACTCGCTGAACACCGACTCTGAGCCAGGCACTTGGCCGGTTACCTGGGTGGCCGCAGCGATCACTGCTCTCAGCGCCCAGAGGAGGACACTGGAGCACGGAGCGGTTAAGTGGCTTGCCCAAGGTGGAACAGCTAGAGGGGCAGGGCCAAGATTTGAACCCAGGTCTGACTCCACCACACACATTCTTAATTTTGGCCCTGGCTCCATACCCATGTGGCAGGATAAGAGCCAGGCCCTGTCCTGCCTGCTAAGTGATGGAGGGCAAGTCTCTTTCCCATCTGTGCCTCAGTTTCCACTTCTATAAATGAAGGGATTTGACTCTGTGGTTTTTATTCTTTTAATTTTGAGAGAATCCTTTTTCAAACCACATTTTACTTGGACGCGGAGAGAGGAAACAAAGGAGGGATCCTTACGGAGAGGAGGGGTTGGGGGCTTCCCACCCCTCCCGAGGGCAGATGTCTGTGCCTTGTATAGAATCCTGGAATGTCAAAACTGGAATTGTGCAGCCCCCAAAAGTCGCACCTAGTGTGGAAGCTGAAGCCTGGGTAAGGGCCGGGCCTGGACTGTGGGTCCGTGGCGCTGGGACAGAAACCCTGCCTCCTGGCCTCTCCACACTGAGGCCCCAAACCGCAGAGTCTGGGTGACCATCTATTTTGGGGCCCAGGCTGTGTTGATTTTTCCTCCCACCCAGTCCATTTCCAAGGGCTGGAGCAGCAGGAAAGGTCTTGCTCCTGGGCTATTTTTAGCCAGGGTAGCCTGCCTGGGTGGGAGGGAGATCTTAGGGAGGGTGGGGGAGTGCCGTGAGTGGGGGTGGGGACACCATTCCCTGAAGGGCAGGCAAGGGGGTCCAGAGACCCAGCAGAGGGGACAGGATACTCCAGACATGCCTGCCTCAGGCCTGGAGCTCCCCTGCCCAGGGGTCCTCGACTGACCCCACAACCTACCTCCCATTTCTTGCCACATCACCAATGCACTGGGTGACACAGAGAAGTCCCCACCCGATCAGGGCCCCAGCTGCCCCTGTAAAATGGGTCAACAATCTCAGCACCACTTCCTCGCACCATAAGGAGCCAACATCTGTGGAAGGTCTTTGTGAACCACAGTACGTTCAGGGGGATGTCCGCCACGGCCCAGTGAATCACGATGTCAAATAGACACACATTTTGGAAAGTCTACATGCACATAAAACTATCTGGAAGGCTGGGCACCAGAGTTTTAACAGGTTTTCCATGACAGGCAGGTTCCCCACCATTCTGATTTTTTTCGATTGGTCCATCTGGCTTTTCTAAGTTTATTACAATGAATATAGACACTTTTGGGAATAGGAAGAAAGCCATTTTTAAAACTGAAAAGTTTTAGCAGTTTGGATTTCTCAATATCCTTCTTCAAGCTCTCAGGCCAAAGTTTTCCAGTTCAGGAGTCCATGGCTGTGGCCCCTGACATCCCCAGCTCTGGGCCCTTTAAGGAAGGCAGGGGAGAGAAAGCCTCATTCCACAGATGAGACAGTCTCAGAGAGGGGCAGCCATTTGCCTAGGGCCACACAGCAAGGAGTGACAGAATTGGGCCGTGGTCCACCACTGAGGCCAGAGGCTGGGTTCCCCATTTCCCTGTTTGCCCGTCACTGACTGTGTGTTCATTTAGAAATAAGTAGGGAAAGTTACTTAGAAGTGGAAGCAAACATTTAATAAAACTCAAAAGTTTTAACTATATTATAATAATTGAATATATTATGTTATAAAACAATAAATATAAAATTATATGTTTATAAATCTAAATCTATGAAGTATAATAATTTAAACACAAATATAATTATTTTAAGTAATATTTAAATAAAATTTAATTTTAAGAGTAACAATTTTTGTTTTTTCTTTTTAATCCTCACCCGAAGATTAAAAAGAGTGTGGGGGGGGGGGACAGAGACACACATTGATTGGTTGCCTCCCGCATGACCCCACCCAGAGCCGAGGACTGAACTGCAACCAAGATACACACCTTTGACTGGAATCAAACCCGTGACTCTTTGGTCCACGGGCCGACGCTCTAACTGCTGAGCCAAACCAGCCAGGGCAAGAGGAACGATTTTCTAAGTAGTGCCTAGCCCACATGCCAGTGACCTCAAAGGGCCTGACCGAGAGGCCCCAGGGTCCAGTAGGAGCCCCTCCTCAGCCACCTAGCCACCCCCCACCCACCACAGATGCCCATGGAGGGGCCTCACCTCAATCCACCTGCCATCATTCTCTGTAAAGAGGACACAGAAGGGATCAGACTTGGAGGTGACGTCCCGGTCCAGCAGGTTCTGGCCACTCACAGACAGCTCCACCTTGCACACACAGTACTGGGAGCCCATGGGGGCTGCCCCTGCTGCAGGGGCGCCCACACCTGGTATGGAGGCCATGGGAGGTGGTGGCGGTGGCGGCAACAGTTCCTGGCAGTCTGTGGGGATAGAAGTGGAGGGTCAGAGAGAGGGGACATCTACGACCTGCCATTCAAGATGGTGTTAGAGAGATAGAGGAAAGCTGTGTGTGTGTGGAGGGGGTGAGGTGTAACATGGGCAGGAAATGCAGGTACAAGGAGACTCTCGTCAATGTATTTAGTTTGTCTATGAAGTTATTCTCTACTTTGGTCAATCTTTACCTGTGAGATACACACAGGTCCAAGTTACCCGAGTCAGATCAGCAACAAATCACAGTGGACACAGAGATCCCAGACATTCATTTTGCCAGGAAAACTTGGGCTTCTCCTGAGCAGTTAACATGTTGGCATCTTGTGGCTACAGTGGAGTTTGTCATTACTCAGGTTTGCCTCATTGCTTTGGCCACTAGGAAGCTCACTTTTGGCAACTTATCCAAAACTTGACCTTGTTCATTGTCTATCTTATTCATCTTGTCTCCCTGGCCTAAGCACATGACTGGTGCACAGGATGCACTCAGTATATATTTTAATTTTAAGAAGCATGTACAACATATGCTATTTTAAAAAAAATTTTTTTAAGCCTGAGTATACGGAGGACCTAAAGAGACACCTCTCCAAACAGGACATACAAATGGCCAAGAGACATATGAAGAAATGCTCAATGTCACTAATCATCAGAGAGATGCAAATTAAAACAACTATGAGGTATCACCTCACACCTGTCAGAATGGCCGCCATCAACAAATCATCAAACAACAAGTGTTGGCGAGGGTGTGGAGAAAAGGGGACTCTAGTACACTGCTGGTGGGAATATAGACCAGTGCAGCTACTATAGAATACAATATGGTGTTTCCCAAAAACTTAAAAATGAAACTGCCATTAGAGCCAGTGATTCCACTTCTAGGAATACATTCAAAGAAGCCTGAAACACCAATCAGAAAACTTATATGTACCCCTATGTTCATAGCAGCACTATTTACAATTGCTAAGATCTGGAAACAGCCCAAGTGTCCATCAGTAGACGAATGGATAAAAAAGCAGTGGTACATATACACAATGGAGTACTATGCAGCTGTAAGAAAGAAAGATCTCTTATCCTTTGAGACAACATGGGGGGACCTGGAGAGTATTATCCTAAGCGAAACAAGCCAATCCACAGAAAGACAAATACCACATGATCTCACTTATTTGTGGAATATAATAAACAAAATAAACTGGTGAACAAAATAGACCCAGAGACATACAAGGGTACAGACTGACAAACCTCAAAGAGGGGATGAGGGGGAGGGAAGAGATAAACCACAGAACTTATATACATGTATGCATAACCAATGGACATAGACAACAATGCTGGGGATGGGGCAGGGGGGCTGGGGGGGGGGATCGGGAGGAGAATGTCAATGGGGGGAAAGGAGAAATTAATTTTAAAAATAAAATAAAATAAAAAGCATGAGTGTATAAATCAATGAACAGATAAACCCTCCATGTCGCTCGGATCCTGCCTGAGCTGGTCTTTATCGCCAGCATAGAGCTAACCCTTTCACTTGTGCACAACTTCCCAGAATTCCATGCACTGGGCCTTATGAACCCCTTCCACTGTCAAGGCTAATTACTGGCATTGCTTATGGTGAGCAGCTCTATTTTCCTCCAAGTGCAAGGTGTTCATTTGGAGCAAGTGTGGAGAAACCCTCAGGGCTGGAGGGGACCTCTGCGTCCCACCGATTCCAGGCCCTGTGGACAGACCCTCTGGCTCTCTTTGCCTTCGTTTCCTCATCTCCCATGAGATATCACGGCACAGTCTTAGAGACTCCTGTGATCAGATCCTATTTCCACTGGCACACATTTAGTTAACACAGGGCCCGCTGCCATGTGGACGAATCCAGCTCCAAACAGTTACCTACAAAGGCCAGGTTCCAACTCCTTGACTAATATCTTGTCCCCTGGCTGTTGAGTGGGAAACGCCCTGCACTGGCGCAGAAGAGGGGGTGCGAGGAAGATGCTCCCGAGCCCCGGCTGAACTGAGCAGTCATCTGCAGTCTCTAATCCTTACTGTCTCGAAGGGCAGCTGCTAATATTGCCCCATTTTCCGGAGGATGACGCTGAGGCTCATTCATTCACTCAGAGTGTTTACTGAGCATCTACTAGGTCCCAAGAACCGTGCCAAGGGCCGGGATCCTGCAGTAGGAAGATGGTCCAGGCCCAGCCCTCACGTTCCTGCCTGGCTGAGAGCATGGGAACAGCAGCCAGGGCTCGGGCTAGAGGTTCTGTAGGGAGTTGGGGCTTTATTCTGAGAGAGATGAAGTGTTGGAGGGTTTTAAGTAGACAGGTGATGTGATCTGATTTCTGTTTTTAAAAGCTCACCCCGGCCCCTGTGGGGAGAAAGGGCTGTGAAGCTAACAGAGGCAGCAGGGAGGCCGGTGAGGAGGTGGCTGGCATCCAGGCAAGGAGGACCAAGCCTCGTGGCAGTGCTGGGCCCCCTCTCCCTCCCTCTGACCCTGGCACAGGCCGCTCTCCGAGTGCCAGCCTCTCGGGGCGGCTGGGCAGCGGCAGGCCCGGTGGGCAGGTGAGTGCGGGGCTGGCGCCAGAGGCCCTCGCCCCTCCAGACTGCGCCTCCACCCAGGCCGGCAAGGAGAGGATCTGGACAGTGACAAAGCCAGTGCTCAGCCCCTCCCTCTCACCGGCTGTCCCTAGAACATCATTATAATCACGTGAGCCCAGAGCGGCAGGGCAGCACTGCAATTTGCCTGCAGGATTTATTCTCGTCGTGTAAAAATTAGTTTCCATGGAGGGGCTGGAGGCTGCGTCCCTTTCACTGGCAGCAGCTGGGTGGCCTGCCGAGTGGGGGAGGAGAGAGCCGACCCTCAGGAGGGTGGGGAATGACAATGTCCAAAATGGACGTCTGGCTGTGTGGCTGAGAATGCCTGCTTAGGCTTACAGTCACCCAGAGGTGGGGTGGGGCACAGCAGTCACCCCCATTTACAGATGAGTAAACTGAGGTCAAGAGAGTGGAGACTGGACCTACGTGAGGACAGCTGGGTTGTGAGCCAGGCCGAAGGGAGCCCGAGGGCCTCAGGGTGCCCAAGGTCACTAGTTTGTCTAGGGTCACCCTGTCTACACCCCTGCATCTCCCATCATCGCTGATGGAGTGGATTCCAGCTCACCCACCTCCTCTCCACCGCACAGGCCCCTTCATGACATGCTAGATGCCACCTGGGCCACCATCCCCCCTGCTGACAAGCCAGACCAGCTGTTTTCATCCTGAGGGGTGTCAGGTACACACACTCAGGTTCCTGCACTTCCTTGTGCATATACACACATGTGTTTGGTTACATATACACGGACACACATGTCCCCAGACAAACACATACAGACATGCTCTCATATGAACACTCAGGGGCCACTTCTCCCCACCCGCTCTCCCCTGGTTCAAGTCACCATCACCACTGTCCTCCCAGCCCTGGCTCAGGCCTGGCTGAGGGCATGGGCAGGAGGGCCAGGTCACAGGGAGGGCGGGGCGGGGCCTCTCCGAGTCCACTGCCACTCCACCTGGATCCGCTCACAGGCCCAGCTAGAGTGAGCGCTGGGTGGACGGGGAAGGGGCACTTCTCCCCAGCTCGGGGCAGGTCCCCCATCCCCAACTCACCCTCCGACTGGAAGCCTCTGGATCCCCGAAACGGGGAGCACATGATGTCCAGAGCTGGGGCAGGCCTGGTCAGAGTGGGCCCCTCTGTGCCAGCCCAGCGGCGGGCAGGCAGGCGGGCTGGACCCTGAGGCCTGACGCAATGGAAAAAGAAACCACAGCTCAGGCTGGGCTGGACCCCTCCCCTCCTACTCCAGCACAGAGGGCAGGCAGGCAAGGTGTCATTAACAGAGGGTTGGGCCTGCCATGTGCATCTGGGCAAGATGAAAAGACTTCTTGGTGCAGCACCCGCCCCACAGGTAATTTGAGGGTTCAGGCTGGAGAGGGGCATGGAGAGCCAGGGCCTGCTCCAGATGGCACTGACTCCTGGTCCAGATGGGCACAGGCCTTCCAGGATGACCAGACCCCCAGGGAAGGGGCTGGAAGGCAGGAAAACAAAATTTGCAGTCCCTTTTACAGATGGGTTAACTGAGGCAAAGAGAAGGCAGGATTGGGGATTCTTACTCATTCATTCAACCAACATTGCTGAGCGCCCTGCAATGAACAGCAATAAGCAAGAGAGAGGCTTCGGCCCCCTCAGGCTCCACTGGCCCAGCTTAGAAGACATCTTGTTATATAGGTAGGATGGGATTCGGAGACGCTGATGCTGAACCACAGGTCTAGAATATTCTGGTTTTAGCCAGCACCCTAAGAACCCGTCATCCTGGACCTCTCTCTCTCTCTTTCCTTCACTGCCTCTCGCCCCACTGCTGCTGCCCATTCTGCCTCCAGGCTACTTCCAGCGTCTTCCTCCTCTCCCACGTGCGGCCTGGGCCCAGCCAGCCCCACCACCTCGCCTGCGCAATCCCAGACCCAGCTCCCTCCACACCCAAGCCGGAGGGCGTCTAAACGTCCGTCAGATGCTGCCATAGCTCCACCTCAAAATCCTGCAGTGGCTTCCCCTTCCAGGTCACACAGAACCCCAAATCCTCCCCAGGCTGACAGCGCCCCGCCTGGCCTGAACCCACCTCATGCCACCTTCCCCCTCGCTCCCTCTGTTCCAGCTACACTGGCCTCCTTCGGGTCTGCGAACAAAACGTCACTGTGAACGAAACCTGTCAGAGCCGTGGTTAAGAACACAGGCTCTGGCCTGGCCGGGGTGGCTCAGTGGCTGAGCGTCGACCCTGCACCAAGAGGTCGCCGGTTCAATTCCTGATCAGGGCACATGCCCAGGTTGTGGGCACGATCCCCAGTGGGGGGCATGCAGGAGGCGGACAATCGATGTTCTCTCTCATCGATGTTTCTATCTCTCTCTCTCTCAAATCAAGAGCAAAATAAATTTTTTTTTTAAAGAACACAGGCTCTGGGCTCAGATGCCCAGGTTCAAATCCCAGGCTCTGCTCACCTGCTGTTTTCCACATCCTGCAAGTTTCCCCCTCTGTAAAATGGGAACAATAAGAGTGCTTTCTTGGGAGCATTGTGAGGATTAAGTGAGGTACAGTCCTCAGAACAACACTAGGTAGCTTGTGTTACTAGCAGTGATTCTTCTGAATGGGAGTGCGAGGGATGGCACAGGTCAAAACCTCCGGAGGTGTGTGAGGTTCACGTAAAGGGGGCAAGGAGTTCAAACCGATAGAGAAATGTGGCTCTAGGCTCCCCTTCTCGGCTGGCAGACAGTGCAGGGAGGCCAACGTGGCGGACGGGGAGCCAGGGAGGGAGTAACAGGCTCAGACCCACACCCACAAGCCCTCCAAGGTGCTACGCCCCTGGGCCATGCCTCCAGGACGCAGGGCCTCTGGGGCCTCTCCCACAAATCCTGCTCAGTGGGGTCTGATCACTGACAGCAGAGGCTCTGGAGTGGCCCTAGGTTCTCGCTGCTCCAAGTGTGGTTTCCAGATGGGCAGCCTCAGCCTCTCCTGGGACCTTGTTACAAAGGCAGCACCCTGGGTCCCCACCACACTGGCGCTTATCCACCTGTGCTTAAACAAGTGCCCCGGTGGTTCTGCAGGGGGCTAAATACACACATGTCCACAGACCTCCGAGTTCGCAACCTCTGGCCTTGATGGTAACACTCTGTTGCCTGGAATCTGGCCCCAATGGCTGCGTTTGCTGAACCTGCAGGGTTGGAACATGTCTTGAATGAGTCCAATTCTTTTTTTTTAATTCTCACCTGAGGATATTCTTCCATTTATCCTCAGACAGAGTGGGGAGCAGAAAGAAGGAGAGCCTGGGAGAGAGGCATCGACATGAGAGGGACACATCGACTGGCTGCCTCCTGCACCCCGGACCAGGGCCAGGGACGAACCACAACCGAGGTACGTGCCCTTGACCAGAATCGAACCCGTGTCTCACTGGTCCGCAGGCTGACGCTCTACTACTGAGCCAAACCAGCCAGGGCTTCAGTGAGTCCAGTTCTAAGTCACCTCCTTCACCCCATTTCCCAGCTGCGAAGTTCTAGGAAGACAAGTGGCAGCTGTATTAGTCAGGGTTCTCCCAAGGAAACAGAACCAATAGGATATCTATATATACAGAGAGAGATTTCTTTTCAGAAAATGGGTCACATGATTGTGGGGCCGGGCAAGTCTGTAATGTATAGGGCAAGGATGGGAGGCTGGACATTCAGGTGACTATTGATGTGGCGGCCTTAACTCTGAAATCCACAGGGCAGGCCAGGCAGCCTGGAAACTGGGCAGGGTTTCTGTGTTGCAGTCTTGATGTCGAAGTCCTTTTTCTTGGAGAAACCTTAGTCTTTGCTTGTAAGGCCTTCAACTGATTGGATGAGGCCCACCCACATAATGGAGGGTAACCTGCTTTAATTAAAGTCTACTGGTTTAACTGTTAATCTCATCTGAGAAATACCTGCACAGCAACATCAGACTGGTGTTTAACCAAACAACTGGTCACCGTCACCTAGCCAAGTAGACACACAAAATTAACCATCACAGCAACCTTCAGCTCCTAGAAGACCTGCCGAGGGAGGTTTCTGTTTCCCCGTCTGGGTGCTGCTCACGCAGAGGTTTGGGTTTGTGAACGGTCACTGAGTTCCACATGTGGAAAATCTGCTCTGCTGTGTATGCTACACTTTAATAAAATGTTAAAAATAACCCAGGGCTATCTACAAAGCCCCTCCGGAGCCCCAGTCATTTATGTTGTCACCATATTGTAACTACTGGCTTAGGAAAAGTCACCTCGCTTCAGCTTAAAGATGGGACAGAATCTTATTTTCATCTCTCTTGTTCCCAGCACAGAGGCAAAGAATGGGAGCTCGACAAACGTTCACCGAAAGTGAGGAAGGAGGTCCGGCTGGTGTGGCTCAGTGGATGAGCATGGACCCATGCACCCGGAGGTCATCAGTTCGATTCGAGTCAGGGCACATGCCCAGGTTGTGGACCAATCCCCAGTGGGGGGCATGCAGGAGGCGGCCAATTGTTGTTCTCTCTCATCAATGTTTCTATCTCTCTCCCTCTCCCTTCCTCTCTCTCTAAAAAAATCAATAAAGAAAAAAATTTTTTTTTTTTTTTTTTTAAGAGTGAGGAAGAGGGAAGGGAAAAGGATCCAAGGCATCTTGGAATTACAGCAGCCTGGGCATACAGATTCACAGAATTCCAGAATTTGGGAATTCTGGGATTTGGGATTCATGGGCTCTTGGAATCTCTTGAGCTGAAAGGTTTTAACATTGACCTGGTCCCACCTTCCAGCCACATGCCAGCTCCAGCCACAGCGCCATCACCCCAACCTCCCACAGCCCTGGTTCTCTGGGGAGACGGTGAGTCCACGCTGCCCGCACTCCTGGGCCCTCCCCGCATACCTGTTGTGGTGGCTCCTGCCAGGCAGTGCCCAGCCTCAGAGAGCAGGCTGGTGCTCTCATCAAGGTGGGGGGCAGCATCTCAACACAAATCACTTCTCCACCTTGGCTAAGGCACCAGCTGCTGCGCTCGCTCGGAAGACACCGTATTCCGACAGGCAGCCAGGCCATTATGGGGATAAATATAGATACAGACAGCCCAAGAGGAGGCTACAGGGGGTGGCCCCAAGGCCCCCAGCTCCCACCAGACCACACCCAGAGGGAGGCTCTTCTCTGAAGCCCCTTCTAATCACTAAGCTCTCCCCCAGGAGGGGCTCCCTGGGGCGCTGCGTTCAGTCCTGCTGCTGCCCGGCCTCCATCACCTCAGCTCCTTCACCCACCACGTGGGCTGGCGCTGCCCTGCCCCCTGCCTCCCAGGAAGGAAGCTGGGAAAGGGTGTGGACGGACTCTGGGATTCGGAAAGTACTTCAGGGACCTGGGGTGGGTCTGGCCAGGCTCAGGGTGGACTAAGCTAATGGAGGGTGGAAGGCACGGTGACAGTGACCACAGGCCAACGTCATTCCATCCTGGCTTCATTCAAAGCAGGGCTGCGGGGCAGCCTCTGGGCTGGGGCACAGCCCTGTGGCCCTACCCTGTGGTGCCCACTCCCACCCAGGGGACTACCATGGGGAGGGCTAGGGGACAGGGGCTTCCGACTCTTTGTAAAGTTTCACCAGCCTTTTCCCCTCTCTATGCCCCTGTTTCCCTGCCCATCAAGGTTTGGCTCAGCGGTTGGAGCGTCGGCCTGCAGACCAGAGAGTCCCTGGTTCGGTTCCCACTGGGGACACAAACCAAAAACAAAAACAAAAACAAACAACCACTCCCTGCCCATCAAGGGCTTGAGCTCCTTCCAGCCCTGGGGACTCTACAACATCTCGGTCTTTCCTAGGCTCCTCTGGCTCCCAGCCCCAAGCGCCTGCCCAGTGTCTCTGGGCTAATTGGGCCTGAAAGTCCTCTGGACGCGCCTGAGTGCCCTCTGGCTTCCTGCAGGGAAGCCTCTGCTCACACCCCCTGCAGAAAGGTCTCCCCACCTTCTGTTCATGGTCCCCGCCAGTGTGCTGCTCTCAGGCTGGCTACACTGAAGAGGCCCCTGCCGCCCCCTCTCATCCAGGAAGTGAGGAGGGGCCTCTCTTGCACCCCAGGCAAGAGGCCCACACCCAGGAACCCAGCCCCTGCTTGGCAAGTCCTTCTGGCCAAAGACATCACCTTCTGCTCTTCAGGTCCTGGTCTCCCTGCAACCCAGCCAATGGACCCATTTCACAGATCCGAGAACTGAGGCACAGAAAGGGTATGTCACACCTGCCTGTTAGGGACTGAACTGTGTCCCCCAAAAGAGATATGTTGAAATCCTAACCCCCAGTACCTCAGAATGTGATCCTACTTGGAAACAGGAGCTGCAGATGTAATTGGTAAAGATGAGGCCATACCAGGGTAGGGTGGGCCTTTAATCCAACATGACTGATGCCCTTATGAAAGGGCAGAGTGAAGACACAGAGATAAGACAGCCACGAGAAACAGGCGAACTGCAGTGATGCTGCCCGGGTCAAGGACGCCCGTGGCGACCTTTCCCTAGAGCCCATGGAGGGAACGTGGCTCTGCCAGCACCGACTTCGGACTTCTCACCTCCCGAACTAGGAGAGAAGACAGTTCTGCTGTTTTAAACCATCCAGTTGGTGGTACTTGCTACAGCAGGCCTGGGAAACGAATACACTGGCCAGCGTCACTTACTAGTCTGTGGCAAACCAGTGTCTGTCACCAGGCAGCTAGGCTTCCCGAATCCCAGCACACTGCTCCCCTCCCAGGGGGCAACAGGGATGTGACTCAGAAAGATTGCAGGGGCCCAACAGGAGGTAAGGGTTGGACAGCATCATCTGCTGGGAGCTGAATACACTTTCTCCTGTGTCGTGGGGACGAGGCAGCCAGGGCACAGTGGGCAGGCCGCATGCCTCAGTTCCTGATGAGACACACGAGCCCCAAAGGAGATGGCTTGTGGGGAGAGTGGAGTCCTGGAACACACTAAGCATGTTTCCACCTCAGGGCCTTTGCATGTGCTGTTTCCTCTGCCTGAGGCACTCCTCTCTCCCTCATTCATTCATTCATATCCACTGCTGGACACCAGGTGGGCTCAGATACAGCCATGAAGGAGAGACCAATGCCATAGGTGAACATCCTAGCTTGAATGCCACTGTTTCCCTGCGCACGAGGCCTCCCTGACCCTCATGCACTGCCTCCATCACAATCCCTTCACCCTGCTTCCTTCCCTTTATGACCTTTCCCCCGATCTGAAGCTTGCCTGCCTCTGTCATTTGCTTTTCCTCTGTCCCCCCAACTGCACTCAGAGCTCCACAGCTGTACCCTCAGCACGGTCCCTGGCCCAGAGAAGCTGCTGTTATTTGATGAGTGACAACCAATGACTGCATGATGAGGGAAGACTTTCCGGAAGGCGGGGACCCACAGCCACGGGCGGAAGAGGAATCGGAGCATCTGTGCACAGCCTCTGCAGTTCACAAGGCCTTTCTCGGCTGTCTTCAGAACCCGTGAGAAAAGCAGGGGGGAGAGCGCCTGGTCTCAAGACCCCCACTTTCTAGTTAAAGGAAATGAGGTCAGGGGAGTTAAGAGACTTGGTTTCAGGGGAAATGGTGATTGTCCCCAGGATTCCTCTGTCCCCTGCATAGGCGGGCAATGACAACAGGAGATACACCCAGGGCAGCAGCCACCACCTCCACCTCCGCCGACCCACAGTCGTTCAGTGCCAGGTAGATCCTACCTTCTTCCAGACACACACCTTTCCCTGTCCCCAGGCCACTTGTCCCTTCTCCATCGGTGAGTCCACTGCCTCTGATGACCCCCAGCACTCAGCATGAGACAGGCATCCCTCCAGAGACCCAAAAGGGCAAATTCTGCCCCACTCCATCACTCGACCTCACAAACCCTTTCGACAGGAGGCTACAATGAGGGCAGATTCAGTCATGCGGCTTGCATGTACCGAGCACCCATCTGCAGGGAAGAGCCCCGAACCAGATGCACACCGTGCTCGCCCGCTCAGGGAGCTAACACTCGTTGGGAAGGAGGGCAGATAATAAGCTGATACCCAAATGAACAAATAAGATGATTGTAGAGCGTGGTTAATCCCAAGAAAAATTAAACAAGTTGATGTGGTTGTGGGTGAGGGGTGGGCGGCTACTCTCACCTGGGACCATGGAGGAAAAG